CAGGTTTTACATTGTCGGGGTGGAGTTTAAATAAGGGCCAGTATTGAGTATGACTTACAAATAATTAGAGCAACTCCTTGGAGCTTCCAATCGTCTACCTGGGGCTTAGGATGATTATAATTCATGCAACCGTACATTAAGAACATCAAACAAAAATTGAGACATCGAGTAGTTAACATTCTCATACTAAGCTTGGCGTTTTAAAAGGCACAGTGTTTTCAGCAAATCGTCAAACTTAATTTGATATAAGACAATTATTAAGCAATTTTACTGAAAAGCACACGTTCTAGTGATGTTTATATTGATTTTCCTATAATGTGAGTAAATTTGACCAAGCAAAACATTAATTTGCCAAAACTCGATATGAAATGTCCATGTTGAAAGTAGAATTCGAATGAAAACATAGCAACGGCATTAAGTGGTACATATATTACTAGCTACAGGCAACGTAAAAATTAAATAAATAAATCACAATAACAAAGTTAAGTCATAGAAAAAATAAATGTCTTTAAATGGCCGATCATCAATGCTCGTTCAATCTATCCTGGCTTCGACTACTGCCTTTAAAGGCTTTTCGACTAAGACTCTCCAGGTAAGCTGCAGGTGCCCAACCTTCCACAGAATTTCCTAGAAAAAAATATACATTCATGTTAACTCTAATTGAGAGAAAAAAAAACAGTTAAGCTTCTTACCAACGACTTTAACAAACCACCAGCCAGCACAACCCACTTTCAAAAGTTCGACGATGTCTCCTTCTCGCATGTTGACTTCACTGCTTCCGATGGCACAGTAATCAGCCAAAGCCAGATATCTTCCTCTCTAAAATTGAATATTTTCAGTCCAGGTTCTTCACATTTTTCGAAAGATTGATTTATTTGCAGTATTTATACTCAGAAGGAATACACGAATACAAATACTTCAACTCGAAGAGGATACAAGAAGAGAACACCAAAACTTATTTGTTTAATACCGCAAATGCGACCGAATCGGTCAGTAGGGATTCTATTAAACCATCTGATTAAACGCAGTTTTTCTTTATTAGGAAACAAAAAATCCAAAATACGTATCGATAAATCTTCTTTGATGGCGTGCCATCAAGCAAATGAGTGCTGTATGATAGAGCATGTTGCAACGATAAACAATGAATGAAACATAGCATTGGCTGATGGGTCTGGGAATGATTAGCATAGTGTGCCCTTTATAGTCTTGGTAGGTTGCAAGGTTCACCAAAACTATCCAGGTGTGTTAATAGTACAAAAATTTATGAATTAAAAATAAAACTTACTATATAACTATATAACTAAATAAAGAATGGAACTGCAGGCTTTTAGCAATGCTTAACATAAAACGTAGTGGTGGTATTTACACTACCGCCTATGAAATAGGCTATCACACGGTTGTAAATTGAAGAATGACCCTTCACCCCATTTAACTGCAAAAAATGGACGATAAACTAACACTTTTTTAAGTGGATTCATGATGTTGCTCCTAATACTTAGTTTGATATACTTTATCCAAGTTATTGTGAAGTGAATTAGTGCTGTAGCAGTGCTCTACTAGTGTTAAGATATCTTCCAAATTATACTGAGCTTAGGAACAACGCAACGATTTTGAATAAATAGCTCTTACCGAGACAATTAAATCATTGTCATCGTCGCTATTGCTGGCATCCGAAGACCAGTTTCCTGGCTCAGAACACTCTACTCCTTCATCTACATGATTAGAGTGGGGCTCATTGTCGCAACTCATCGCCCTTTGGTGTCCGTCCCCAACTGAAGCTGCAGATTTTTGCGTTTCCCATGAAGTAGTCTGCTTCAAGGGCCTAAAAGGCATCAGAACGTTAAAAAAAATCCACTTTTCCCCAGTTGTTTTACCTATGCGTAATGGCAGCGTACTGCTTGATCTTTTCTCCTTTAATCTCTTCCAGTTGGCTATAAAGAACCTTTTTAATCTCATTTACCCAAGCATGCTTCTGTTCCAAATTTGTGGCTTGAATAATATGAACTTCCTGTCTGCCTTGAAGCCACACTTCAAACCTTTTCGCATCGCCTTTAACAGTCTCAGTTAGTCCGATTTGGGACATTTGCAAATTATGTTTGAACTGATAAGTCGTCTTATTTCGCTCAGACTTTGAAGGCGCCTTGCAGAAGACCAGCGACTTTTGATAAAGAAATAAATGCCTTCTTAACGGCTTCAGCCTCAGTCTTAAATCCTTTTTATTTTCCACCCACACAGAAAATGATCCTTGCAACAGGAGGTCACCTTGCTGGGATAAATCCCCAGGAAATCCTGTAATGGATATTTGGTGCATGGAATCATTAACGCATTTGAGGACTATCAACATGCAGTCGAGCGCTTGTTGTAGTTCTTTGCAACATTTGCTTCCTTCTGAGTATCTGAGTAGGTGGCTTAAAAGCAGCTGATATTTGGTGATGCGCTGCACGGGCTTCAGAAGATATGCAGCCAAGGGCAATTTGTGTCCCAAGTTCTTTTGGCATTGGTTGAAAAATGGCTTCAGTTCATTGGAATTTTCTCGCAGTTGCTCAGATTTGGAAATATTTTGACAGTAGAAACTATAGAGCCTCAGGAACTTCTCCCTCTGGAATAAAAATGTGTGTTTCCAAACTTTTCAAACCCTGTCCTTGGTGGCTTACTTTTTGAACAAAGCAAAGCGCCACCAGATCAGACGACGTGATGCAATTCTCCAAATCTCTCAGGAAATACTCTGAGTGAAAGTTGTAAATTTCATCCAGATTCCCGAATATGACATCAAACTTTTCAAGAGCTTTAGCCGGTATGGAATGCTGATGCTGCTCCAGATGCGCCTCATCTTTATATCCCTACAATAAAACTTTATTGGTACCTGCCGGCATTTAAATAAGACTTTTATTAGGACCCATCACTAATAAAATTAGTCAGTTTTATATGTGTTTTTACTACTGTTTCACGTTACATTGTGAATCCGTTTATAGCAGCCTTAGTTTGTGGAAGATCTAAAGAACAAATTCCGGCCACATCCTCCAACGTGACAAACTTCGCAAAAATTAACTTTTATAATTAATTAGCTGCCATTTTAATTTAAATACGTTCCTTTCTTTAGCATCAAATTAGCAAAACAACGTATTTGCACATAGTAAGTTTCTGCAATTAATCTACGACAAACACATGGCAACACTCAAAATAACTTGGGTTGTTTAAATTTAAAATTTTAATTACTCTGCTAATAACTTCATAAAGTGTTTGTCATCATTATCATAAAACAAATACATAAATAGAATAAAAAATACTTTAAGCATTGACTTGGATATTCAAACGTTCGATTGTACAACAACAGCAAATCTAATAAGCATTTAAATTACCTTAATAATAGCTAGCATTTCACTGACGTAGATTCTTTCGGAATCTAATAATTCACTCAAGACATGGCCAGTCTTAATCTTGTTGAGTTCATCATTTTCTGGTGAGATTCGGGTCTCATTTGGGGTGATTTCTGGCTCCGCTTCTAATGTTGAATCCATCTAGAAGAAATCCAACACAGTCGACCACATAGTCATCCAAATAAAACACAAGCCGAATTCAAATTATTACTAATAGTACAAATAATAATTTTAATTGATAAGAACGTGACGACCTTCTGGATGAGCGATATTCACTTTATTATCAACTTTAAATTCAGTTGCAACTCTTGAAGCGTTGGACGAAGTTGTAGCTATTTTCAATGATAGTTTTAACTACTGGAAAATTGAAAATTAACCGTTTCCTTTTAGCGTCGTACTGACAATATTTTTGTTCATTAAAAGTCCGCACAACTCTTAATAAGAAGTGAAACGGAAACAAACCTACATATTCTAATATATTAAGATTCATGCGACTCCCTGCTGCAAAATAAATGATAGATACCTAATGCAAATTATTTTCTCTTAGATTACAGAAGACTAACAGCCTGAAACTGAAACAATCAACATTCAACAAGAGGATAATTAATTATGAAGAATTCTTTCAATTGGTGTTTTACCTTGTGCAATCACTGAATTAACAAAATACATCTGTCCTTTTTAAAGCAGCTGGTTTTTTTATCAACGATTTTTCAAACTTTCAAACCAAAAGCTGCAGTTCTTTCCATAGCGCCACAAGCACGAGCATTGCAAAGCTGTTCGTGTCCCAGTTTAGAATAAACTGTGAGCTGGGAAGCATTATTTATTTGAATAAAAGATATCGGCAGCCCTTGGGTTTAAAACAATACGGCCTTTTCATCGTTGATGTGGGTCGGGTTCTTTAAGCATAATCAATACTAGAAAGGGAATTCGGTTCAGAACTGATAAGGGTAATGACGACCCCAGAGTATATTTGGAATTAATTATCTATTTTATTATAGATGATACTCCCACTTGCGTGGGAGCGTTGACTATTCGAAGTTCAGAGCTTTGAACTAATGACTTTCTGTAGGAAAAATAATGTATGGCATAACGCTTTCAATTCAACGTCGTATTCCTGCTGAGGTACATTCGTCGTATTCACAACCTAAGGTTGGGCTGGGTCGAAAGATGCAAATGAAAGGTAAAATGTAACTCGATTACAGTTATTTTTGCATGATCGACAACGTTCGCTCTGCGGCTGCTATGGGGGGCAACATTAATATTCTGCCCACCGGAAATTAAATAACTTTCTTATTCTATTCTAGTCTATTCAAATGAAGGTGATGTCTTAGAAAATCAGCCTTAAAAGTGACCAATAATTTGCATTTCCTCAACATTCCATGCAAGTTGACTGACTTTTTGTCAACTGATAAATATTCAGCTCAAATAGTTACTCTACTTTCCATTTTGCATCAGAAATGTAAACAAACGTTTACTATTGTAGATGGGACAAAATGCAAATTTTATTAAATTTTTTATTGAACTCTTCACAGAACACATTTTTCTTTAAAAAAAGGAAGTAAGACATCGAGAGCTGTTGTTATGTTATTATTATTAAAGATGATTTATGTATATTTGCCGTTGAATTTTTGGGGATTGTGTAAGAGTTAAATCTATTGCTCTTGCAAACCGACCGAAAATTCCTCTTTAATAATAAATGATAATTTCTTATTATTAAAAACTAATTAGTTCAAATTATTTGGAGGGTTCATCAGCAACATTTATTACATACCGTGGGTACAAGAGAATAAAAAAATCCATCGCAAAAACCGTAATTGTCGTTCGGAAGAATCACTTTAGGAAAATAAAAGTTTTCAGTTTCCCACGTGCAATGGCAACTCATTTTAGGAAAATGCGGAAGTTCCGAATCTCGATCGTATCGAACTGAAACGCGGCCGATCTTTAAAGTTGAGCACTCGCTTTATAACTGGTTCTGATATTGGGACCAGCGATTTGGGCATGCCGAAATCCTCGCCCCATTCACTAATGAACAATATTCCGAAAAATGTCGATTTATTTTTAAATATTTGCATAATCGTCCATTTAATAACTGTGATAAGTGGGATTGCATATTTATGAACATGCTAATGAGCGACCATGATGTGATCCTAGGAATGTTGCTGATATTGGTTTTAATCCAAAGTTAGGTAATCTTGACCGACTACAAGTGCTTGTTGTAGAAATCTTCGGATTCCGCATGTTGCACTTTAATTTTTGGATTGTTGACTGTTACAGTTTTCGAAGAACGCTTCATGTGAAACAATTCATTACTTCAATTGTATTAATTTAAAAACTCGGCGCCTGAAGAAAAACATCTTAAAGATGTAAAAAATTTATTTATCTTCTTTCTGCTTGCATTCTGCATCTGGCTGAAGCTGGTGAAATTCCGAGGATTAAAATATGAACACCTACATATTTCCCATTTTATTAAAATATTTAAAACCCCATAAATTACGAAATATTTACAAAATAACGGAAATTCCGTCACGATTCCGTAGTAAGTGGGACTACCAATATTCATAGAAATAAAACACCAATTTATGCGATAATACAAGAGAGATGAAATTTCGAGGAACACGGAAATACGTCTTCTTCAGTATTGAGTAAACTTTGCTGTTATGATCAACTTTTACCTATGCGGTAACGAAAAAAGTCAGGTTGTTTTCGTCAAATTGTGAGTTTTTCCTTATGGTTTATTAAAAGCGACTGCAGTCTAAAGGATTAACTTTTGAACTGTTTCACTTTCTCACTGTCGATCAACTTCAAACAATTCACAATTTATTTAAAACTTTTCGAGTTTTTTACCGCATCGATTAATAATTTATGTGAAGAAAGCCTGTATACCTTTTAAAACACTTTCCAGTCAACTGTGACCTCAACTCGTTCAGCATGTACCCATGGAAATAGTTCGATTGATTAGCAAAGCCAATTGTCTTTTATCTCAAATAGTTCGAGAAATCTTTTGTTAAAACGTGACTTAGGTTCAATGTATGCACATTTCTAGAATATTTTCGTTCAGAAATTGATCATTTGGAAACTTTCCAACACTCAATTTTTTTTATGATAGCAATTATGAAAATGAATAATTTTTTTTGAGAATATTGAAAGATTTGTTTCACTTACCTTAGGAACGGTATAAGCTTTTTTCAAAAATATCTTTGCTGGCTGGGGAGCCCCAACTAAGGGCTGCCTTGGCACTGCAGGTTCTGGAACAACAGTCTGAACTGGACGCTTAATTTTCGCTGCAATTTTATTCAAATTTGATATCCGTTGTTCGCACATAAGTATCACATCGTCTGTCCTTTGCAGCACCTGAGAACAGGAGCTGAGTTTGCTAGTTTCTAAATGGGAATTTTCGCCAATATTACCTGCAAAACTAAGGGCTTTGTTTCTGGAGTAACGCTATCCTCGAAAATATCCCTGAAATCCTTATGAGCAGTGGACATGAATTCTTTGGCTGTGGCTTCAAAGTTGCGAATTTCGTTTATACATTTCTGCGCTAATTCCGGGGAGTTTGAGCATTGCTCGATATTTTGCGAGGTGAGTAGTGTCACCCCTGTAGCGCACCAGCTATTCACCTGGAAAACCACAGAATTTCCTCCCATGAAGAGCCGATAACTTTGATCCTACCTTTTCCAGTCGCTCGATTAATTCTCGACACTTAGATAACAGTTCCTTCCGTTTCACTAGTCTGTTAAGAAGCATTTCTTTCATTCTCAAAAGTTCGCTGCATTTGGGCTCCACGCATTCAATGGGGCAGGTATTTTTGGTCCTCATTAGCAACTGTCCTGAAGACACTGCTTCTTCTGCTCTTTGGATATCTGTCTGGCAAATTTTCTCAAAAGCATTCGTTTCCTTAATCAGTGTATCAACTCTCGCGACTGTTTCTCCAAACTCACTCATATCGGAGACTGTTCTTAACGCCAGATCAAAATTTGCTTGCAATTCCCGAAAGTCTTGTTCAAATCTTCGAAGCTCTAGGCAGTGTTGAAGTTTGGTTGAATGCTGTTGCCAGAAGTCGTCAAATGTGTTTTCTGTTTCTTCCAATTGCACTAATAATCGCTCCACTGCGAACACATTCCCTATCATATCGGGCGCAGAGTTTTCATCTTCGGGTTTATTTTTTTCTTTGATGCTGCACAGCAAAGACTCCCCAATTTTGGCGGCAGACAAAATATTCCGTTTCAGATCTGAGTAGGATTCCTTTTGCTTAAGCAGCAGCTCTTGGGTAGATTCCACGGTGTTCGGAAGCTCAGTTTCATCGACTACTTTCGTGAATTCATCCAAGGCATTTGACACCTCTTGAGTAATAGAAGAAAAGTTCTCTAATTCTATTCGTTGGTTTATCCACTCTTGATGGTTATATGCTAAAGTTCCTTTCAAATCGACTGTTAATTGATGAGGATCAACGTGCTCATGCAATTCCTCGGCAGTGCTAAGAACAATCATCCGGAACTTAAATTCGTCTTTGAACAGTTTATTGCTCACTTCCGATAGTGCTTTCTGTAGGAAACTTGCTGGCCGTAAAACGTAAACCACTTGAATTAGACCCGGAAAAAATACGGATATCTTCAAAAGGACAGTTTTTACGGAATTCCAGCGGTCCTTACGTCTATCTATTACTAAGTGGAAGCCCATATCTGCCTCTTGAAGCCTGCAAATCAAGAGTCTGAGCTACTTGCATTGTGATAAGGAAGCTTATCTTACGTAGGCACTGAAGTTAAATATAACATTAGGCGTTGATATTCAATATCCGAAAGCATCTGAAAATTATTGTTATCGGGAAACGTAATAATTGGACAGCCATCGTTCGATTTGCCACCTGAGATAATAGCGTAATGGTGCTGTAGTAAATCAACCACATCATATACTCCTAACGGTTCAAGACTAACTGTGTTTTGCATTTCGATTTCCTCACAGGATGGAAGACCGTCTTCTGAAACAACATGAAAAAGTTGACGGGACGATAAAAAGCAGAAAATTCAGGAAATTGAACTGGCTCTGCTCCGATCAACATCGGGTCGTTCATCAATCAACAGTATTTCCGCAATTTATTTGATTATCTTATATGGTGGGCTACACAGGCAATTAATGGGGTGACTTCAATTTGAACAGCAATTCCAGAAATAGCGGCTTATTTTCGTTTGGTTTTGTTTGAGAAATGTTGCAACGCATTAGACTGTTTTACATAATACTTAATGACCCCGATTTTAATAGCCTATCCAGTTTCAATATTATATCTTTCACATCTGTTACAGATAATAAAACCTCCAGGTTGTTATTTTGTCAATGTTATGGCTTTTCTCACTGTTTATGCATACTAATACCGATAGATTCACAGCAACGTTGATGTATAGGAAGTTAACTCATTAACAGTTTATGGCGCTATGAAATAGTCCACTGCGCACCTAATTAATATAACATATTTATAGCATTTGCTTTCGGAAATAATTTCATATTTATATTAGATAATTATTGTTCAAAAATAAAAACACTACGATAAGTTAATTATTGGTTTATTGTGCCTATTTGTCTATCTGGAAATGGACCAACGAATATTTCCTTATTTCTTCCCGTACACAAAGACATATTTTGAGTTTTTATTTCTTCACTCGTGCTTACGAAAATCACAAATAATTTTTTTCCGACTACCTAAAGGCTCAAAAAACTCATCAGTTTTGCTATTATTATTATCGGCCTTTTTCCCTTCGATGATTTCATTCGGAGAATGTCAAGCAGAAATTCCAAAAAAATGACGCGATACTAAATAAATCATCTAGATGGAAAAGCAAGTCAGGTAAAACTTATTTGCCACTACGGTGTAAAAGCGCGAGATCTCACGAATAAGCGTCCTCGAAGATGCAAGCCACTCGTGCTTTATTATTAATTTTAGAATAAGCTAGGCTAAGGCACATATATACTAAACAAGGGCAGAAAGACCGATTGGGTCGATAGCCTTTTTCTGTAGGAAATAAAGATTATTTATATATATCAAACTAGCGATTCCAAATAAAAGCATTGATTGTCATTGTGAAGGAAAAGAAATAGTTAACAGCGCTGCATATACTAAACTCTTTATTGTAATAAATCACATAGTTTTCTATCGAAATACGGTGGAACTGCTTCTGCTCATAGTGAAAATAAATTAAACTAGTATCCTAATAGTGAAAACAAAACGAAAGTATTCGTTTATAAAAACATCTATATTTAAAGTTAACAAATTGTTTTGTACAAAAAATATACCTATCAGATATTGTTCAGCATGGCGCGAACTTACATTCTGCTAAAATATGGCGCATGATGTTGGCCATTCGTCATAGTAGTGACGAGATTTCCTTGGTCGTTAATAACATACCCCGTGTTGGTTAACTGATAGGAGAATGTATTCGTATTATGATTTGCAGCAGTTTGAGGAGTAACAATGTTGGCGTTTGATATAAGCTGGGGGACGGGCGTTACCAAGAACGTTTGCGATTGTTGATGTTGATTCCCGTTCGTTTCACTAGAAGCTACCACCAGGGGTATGACTTGCTGCACCTCATTGTTGATGATACATTTTTGTACTTGTTGCACAGTCTGTTCTCGCGGCCTCTCAATTGTTTGGATTTGCTGAGGCTGTTGAATTTGAGCGGTTGGTTGCTGAACGTGTTGCACTGAGACGTGCTGCTGTTGCTGTTGTTGATTGTTGTGGTGCTGATTATTGCCTTTTGGTTCCAGCTTGCAGAACTTCACATGGGGGAATTGCTCCTTCATGAAATGTCTAAATGTCGAATACCCCATAAGTTTAACTCCAGGCTCTAAAATCTGGCCATACTCTTTATAGGCATCGTGGAGGTTTTTCCGCGTGACATCCCAAGGTAATTGAATGCCTTGTTTTGTGTTGAGAATGTCTCGTTCTCCGGTATGTTGCTCCAAATACTGTTTCAAGAACTCTCGAGCATGGCAGTAGATGTCCAAGGAGAAGGTATTATGAGGCTTTTTTCCGTGATTTCCATGTACTCTTGGTGCAACCCCATGGGTCATAACGTGCTTTCTGATTCTCTTCAGCTGATAGTGCGTACAATTTTCTAGATAGAGGAAAGCGTCAAGGCAAACTCGCCTTCCTTGATATACATATTGGGCTCTGAGCCGTCTCCTTTCCCTATGCCGCACAGTCGTATCAGGATTCGCAAGACATGCCATTGTAACACCCATCAAGTACATATCATGCTCGCCTTTTGTCAGTTCTGCAATATTATGCCGATGCTTAAATACTGTCTCAGGGTTCAGTCCTCTAAAACAACTCTCATCCTGACAATCACATCCTCTCTTAAAACGCTCCTTCACTTGAGCTGGACTTTCTTCCAATTTCGTTGGATCATTAACAGCTGGCAAGAATGGCTTTTTCTTTTGCTTCTTTACGGCTTTTTTCTTGACATTCGAGCTATTATTAATCTTAATCTTTGGTAGCTCTTTAGCTTTAACTTCCGTCTGCTTTTTTACAACTTCGACTTCAGATTGAGCTGCCTCTGGCTCCTCTTGAAGATGTCCGGTGTAGATTGCCGTCATACTTGTATCCATAGGATCCACTATTGCGTGACTTTCCCATATAACCTTTAACAAAATATTGGAAGTTGTAAATGCAGAGAACAATGTTTTTTTCGTTGGCTTCTTACCACTTGCTGGTCATCCATGCTATTGGAAAAATGGGCCGCTCCATCCATGGCAGAAAATATCGAATGGGAAATCGAAACAGGAGTATATTGCATAGCGCTATCGCCATCTGCTACATCGGTGTTAGAAGGGTTGGAATGAAATGCTGCAGTCTGATTGTCACTTCCATCAACAATTATTTCTTGCTTCTCAATGCGTTCGACCGATAAGAGGCTATGAAGAACTTCACTTGCTTCTTTTTCCGCTGCGTCTTCCGCCATTTCTAATGAAAAGTTTACATGCTTGAGGATTCTTAATGCGAAGTTAGAAGGCTGAATAGTGTCTGGCCAGTAGCACGCGCTTTAATTGAAATTGTGTAGGTTGTCTATTGTAAGAAAATTGAAAGTGTCCAGTTTGGGAATATCGGAGAAGGCAAATGATGCGATATTGATGAAATACCGAAAAAAGTTGAGTAATTAAGACTTGAGAATTTAGGATGGAGCAGATCCAGAATATTTGGATGCAAAAAATATGTTTTTATTGATTTTTGAATTATTTAAATAAAACAAATGCAAAAAACGGTTCAATTTTCGATCTAAAACTACCTTCTGAAGTGTTGGTCGCACCATTTCCGGGCACCCTGTATAATTGACATAAAAATAATTGTTTTTTCAAATATATCGAAGACGACATTTTGCATTAAAATTTTTAAATGGAAATTTTATCAGTCCTGCAATGGCGTTAAATTTTGAAACTATTTATTTACTTAAAAAGCAAAATCTCGATTTTTTAAAAATGAAACGAAAGAATGACGCAATGATTCTCCAAAGTCTGCATATTAATAACATATTAACTTGTTTTTGTATATGGTTAATGGAAAGTTCCAATAGTAAACTGATAAACTGGTGGATTCACACGCTCAGAATATTTCTGTAAAATGAAGAAATAAAAATGATAGAGAAGAAAAAAATGGCACTAAAATAACAAAATTATTAACCGAAGAGCACAGAGTTTTGTTGATAAACAAACCAATTTGAAATGAGGCAACCAAGACAAGCGAAAAGCGTCTTTACTGAAATTCTCAAAAGCTCATAATCGTTGGCAGCCACACAAAATTCAGCCGTATTGGTATCCATTACATCGAACGTTATCTTACCTTTTACTGGGCTTTTCACTGGAATTTCACATTAATTTCGCGCACAAATTGTACTCCAAGCAAAGCTTAACAGTTCATCATTGATTTCATGTGGTTTTTAGGTCGTTTTCGGCCATATTTTGCCGCTTATTTTCACTAAATTATCAAACACTTTAGCGTTGCAGTCCGCCATGATAGTTTTGAACCAATCTTTGCAGTATCCTGGCTCGATCTCCAAACATGCGCACTTCAGTCGCTTCAGCCATATATATATATCGTTTGCGCGATTAGCTCTAAACATTTAAAGGCCCACTAGAGTATAAAAAGAGGCATAGAGAACAAAAAATGTATACATTTTGTAGACTAAAATTTAAGAATCCAAAAGTCAAAACTCAAACTAAGAATCTTACTGTTTACATATCAAGTTATTTCAGGACTCTCACAGGGGATATTGGAAAAATAAGAATAAAAGTGTTTACTATTATATTCTTTTCCTTCCTGGGTTTCAGTCAAAGTGTGAAATACAAAATTTTATATCGTTTATTTCATAACGTTTCGGCGAGACAACAGCGCCATCAAAGATTCAAAATTCATACTCAACTCATAATTGGGAAACATTAGATTCTTTTAGGTCTTTGCTGTCTTGAAACCTCAAATTTGTTCTGGAACAAATGTTCACATGTTATCCACTGTACTATATTTTAATCCACTGCGCGCTAGCGAATAATCATTATTCGCTGGGGATTAATAAGCACGATTAACTACATTGAGTCTAATATTGAACAGTGGTGGATAAAAAGAATTACTACTGCCAAAGTTTACATATGTATGCAAAAACTATTTTGCATCAGTTTCATAACACGCACCAAAATTACTAATACTTGACTTAATAAAATAAAGGAAACTAAAAATGGAGCTAAAAATAAAAATAGAGTCCTGACAAAATAAGTTTGGGATATTTTAAATCAAAGATTTTCCAAATAAAGGGTCTATGAAACTATTGATTTCAGGTCAATAGACTGAATAATACGTTTCCCGGTACCCGTTGGTTTTATTTTTAGAACTTATTTGTATTCTCCATTGGATGGTTTGAATTACATACTCATTGTCCTTATGCTGGAGGAATTTCAACGTTCGTTATAAAGGCTTTGTTAAGCGCAAATAACTGTAACGTTAACCGCAGAAGGTAAATTTCGTAAGATGGCTAAAATACAACAATACAGTGTCTTCAGCATTCTTGTTCACTAGTTTAGCATTGTTAGCGCAATAAACGTCGAGCTCAATTGTAAATTAGTGCATTTCCCAGCACGTTTTTAGGAAACCGCGCTCTATGGTTGCAAATCGGGGCAATTATGTACAATTTCATTGGTAATTACCGAATTACTATTGATTTGGCCCTCAGACATGATTGCTTAGTTTTGCAACTGATGGGCCATCCATCAAATAAAAATGCTTCACATGTACTTTGCAGCGCGGGTTAATTCTGATTAAGACATTGGTTTTTAGCTAGGTTTTATTTGAATCCTTGTAAATCCAACTGTGTACGAGCGAAACTAAATCTTTAGCGAAATAACTGAAACAAAACCGACCAATATTTAAATAAAACTTTTTGACAAATTTTTGCTCGCATATGCAGTTCAAATTGTGCACCCTCGGTTCACCCTGTATATAGGTATATAGTTTTATATCCGAAAGCCGCGGTTTGACAAAAACAAAGGTGAATGATTTGGCTGGTTGAAATGTAACAGTTAATGTTTTATATTAACTACCTACGTTGAATGTTACACAAGCCTTTAGGATTTCTAACAAGTTTTACGTTGTATGAAATTGACCGCGTTCATTTGCATGTAATTTAAATTAAAATTTCCAAAGTGGATAAACAGTAATGAAGACTTGGTTGATGAATTATTTGCATGAAATCTATTTTTTTAATGGCTTGTTAGATGTTATTAAAAGGAAACTGTATTATTAAATGCGGTGGTAAATCTGCCAGAAATAATTGAATGTAAATTGCATAGTTAGTGAAATATTTTGCGTTTAATGAAAGGCTACTTTTCAAAAAGTGTTGGATTCAAAAATTGTTGGTTCCCGCCATGGACGATAACAGTGTAGAATTTGTTCCCATCGAACATTGCTTTGTTTCAAGGTTCGCTTTTTAACTGGAATAAGTTGTGATAAACCGATATAAATATAGACTTAACCCCAGTCACAACTGTTGGAGGATACTTTTGATAAGACCACAAACAATTGATTAACTATTATTTATTGATCAATTGATTAAAGGGTTTAGAGGACAGTACTTACTCCTTTTCAGTATGTAATCCATGTGTTTCACATTTAATGATAGGCACAAAAAAATTGTTCACCACTTCCGATTGTTTTCAGCCGATTGATAATCATCACATATAAGCAAGAATGCATTGTTTAAATTTACTAATAGCAACCTTGCGTTTCGTCAATAAGCACTGTCCGAACTACGTACTCAGTCAGGTAATTTCATACACTCTCTACAACTTGTTCCTATTGCGTTAATTATGTTATCGGCTTCATTTTGTTTAAGGCAGTTTGTTAATTGCCAACTTTGCCTAGTTGATTACATTTTTATGGTTTGTCTCCAATGTCTTTAGTCATTGTTGCATAGATGTAGTGACCTGAGAGGAGTACCAGTCGAAATTTGTTGTGTATTAGAACAGTTAGTTAACGCGATGAAAGCTTGATATAAGAACTGGTATCAGAATATGAGCCAATAAAAGTGGAAGAGCATGATGAACCAACGCAGTACAGGACCGCAGTTACAAGCTCGGGCTTAATTAAATTAGTTTAATGCTTCCGGTGCCATGTACACTTGCATGTGCGATTTATGAAGACAACGAGAGACAGGAATGGGTTGGTTATCAAATTACACAGCAAATTCGAAAATACTTAAGGATGAAACTGGTTGGTTTTTCGGGTTTTGGGGCCGTCGCAGACTAGGATTGTCAGCAGTTTCCAGGAATGGCCCAATGGAATTAAGAGTGTTGTATAAAAACAATAAAAAATTGTAAACACTAAACAAGTTGGAATCAAACCAGGAATTCACCTGTCGCAAGAAACCCACACAACTTTTTCAGAGAAAACATTGAAAATAATCACTAGGCAGTCCGATGTTTTAATGCAGGTTCATTACAGTCCACAATACAGGTTTATGATTACTAAGAAATTCAATTAATAAATAGGCTTTAGAGTTGAGGCAACGGGATGTTCAATTAATTTAAGACATTTACCTCAGTCCTGAAAAATCCCTGGGAAACTAGCACTTTGATTAATATGGACGAAATGTTTAGGAATAAACTAATGCAAACTCTCAGCTCGCTATAAGCATTAGCTACTAAGTGATAAGGGAAAACTTCTTTTATCTTGTCTATTTAAATATTGATAGGCACGGGGAATGACGAATTGGTTGGAGGTTTATCTACCGCTTACCATTCTACCTGTTTAACATTTGTATAAAACATTGCATCAATGTTTGCGATTATCTAGCAGAATTTTATAGTTTATCTGGTATTTACTTACGGTATTGTCGTTATAATTATTCAGGATAATGCTTAGTTATTAACGACCCTTCGAATGCCGTTTTCATATTGGTTGCTTTTACAGTTATGGACGTTTTTCTTTATTAGCGCGTGAGCAGACAAATTGCCTCACTTTTCAGGTTCCGAATTTCACCAGCCGTGTTTCGCGATGTGTTCTTTTCCCGGAAAAAAATATTACTGAATCTATGCTTTCGAAGGTTTGGCATATTTGAAAACTAATTTTCAGGATAAATAAACTCGGAAAGAATTTATGAAAGTGGTCTGTTTAAAAGTAAGTTTAATTTTGGATTCTGCTGACGTGGGAAACATTTTTTTCAACACAACTTCGATCTGTTAAAGAGGAATAAATCACTTATTTTATTAAACCCGGACCTAATTTTTAATATTTTTTGTGGATTCCGCTTAACATTAAAGCGTTTTCAGTGAAAATACACTTAAGAACTTGGTCCGTTTAAGTCCCTGCGAACTAATTTGTGGCAATTTACGTGCTCTAATTATTTCGTAGAAGTGAGTAGTATACTTGTTTGACCCTGAGCTTCAACAGCTAAATAAATATGCATTTTAGTGCAACGAACTGGACCATATGCATTTGTCTGCAACAAATAGCTCTGCGCTGATTTTGAAATACCGGAAGATAATTTATTTATGCAATTAACCATTTGGGCTGAACACATGTGCCGAAAATGGCATACAACTATTTTCTGCTTCACATTCTTACTCATTGATCAGTTATTTTTAGTTTTCCTGCATCAGAAACAGCAACTTAAAATTGGAAAAATGCTCTTTGGAGACGAACCGAATAAGCGTTCATTAATCATAAATTGACGACTCGACATTATGTTCAAGTTCGTTCAGAAAATGCAATTTTTAGCAGGTAATTTTCCTGATTATTCGCTTGCATACATCAACTTTCAATCCCTTATGCCACAATAGGTTTTCAAGGGGTTTTAACAATAGGGTGCATATGAAATGACAGCGCAGAGCCATCCGCTTACTCATAGGATAGTGTGCAATATACAGGGCTGTAGTAGACCATATATTTTTTTAATTATTCATTGAAATATGGAAATCGGTATTTTAAAGCATTGTTATGCGCTTAAATCAGTATAAATTGAATAAATCCAGCAATTAGAGTCTCGAATAAAAATATTCTGCAAGTCTCTCAATATTTTAATTGATGATCGACGCGGTTAAAAAAATAATTTATACCAATTTCTGTTAAGTTGCCTCATCTTTCCAATCATTGAAACACCTGGTAGAAAAGGTGAAATTTCGAGTCTATGATATTGTTGCCAGTCCTTAACGTAAAAGATTTGAAAATGATTATTTATGGCTGCTGATAAGGACTTTGACGTCATGGAAAGGAGCTAGACCTGAGGTAGAACACGAAGTGGTTTAAGGTTGATTAAGGCTTGTTTGGGATTCAGAGTTTTGAGTTGAAAAATGTTGATACATGATCAGAAGAATTAAATCAATAAATTTAATAAAAACAATTGAGAAAGCTCCTACCTGAAGAGTCATATTCTAAATAGGAGCTTCTTGGCCTCTCAAATCCAACCCGATCCTCCATGGCTTTGGAGGCGTTGCGTTTAAATTGTTCCAGAAAACAATCGATTTGTGTTTCCAAACTGGATTCGGCCATGGCTCTATCGGTATACTATCGAAAGCCTTTACCGTATCCTGATAAGCACTAGGTGTCATCCTTTTTTGGCATAAGAATATCGTAAAAACACTGTTCGAGCATGGTATCACTATTTTAGTGGCATTCAGCCCCTAGTAAACCCGAAGAGGGCACTGGTCGGACTTAACTTTCCGATGCCGTTTGGATGCGCATTGGAGACACACCGGTCCTTCAGAGCCGGATTTATGGAACTTTGTGCCACTCTTTAGACTTTCTACGGTTGAGAGTTTCATATAGATTTGAAACAATCGTGAGAAGACGGATTATCTGATCGAAATGTATTGCATTCCACTTTGCAATTCAAACATCCACAATATCTCGACTTGCTTCGAAACAATTAGATGAAGAAAAACACTGCAATTTTCCGGTGAAAAGTTCCCAACTTTTTCTAAAACTTCTACACTCAGCTGCATGACTGAGGAAAAGCGTGTTGCATGTCAGAAGGAAACCGAAAGTGAACATTCCCGGTAAAAAAGTCGAGTTTGAGTAAGGCCCTGTGTTAAGTCGGAACAATATGTACGCATATCGGAACTTTTCTTTGTTTGCAGATGTCTATCTAAGATTACTTTTCGGATTACTATGAAAACAGATACTGTATACTGTTTAAAAATAGTTAATGAGCACACAAAATGATGCAAAATAATTAAGATTCCGTAATATATAGGCAGTTTTAATTCAGGTACAATTTCTTTGTTACTTCAGGGGTGGAGGACCTTACAGGCTGCCTGCAGGTGTAAGGGTAAACGCTTACTGAAGCTTTAGCGTGAGAAATGATTGTCTGGCGTTGAGAATTACTATGGGTTATTTTTACGAAAAAATTCTATGTTAATTTTCCTAGACAATCTGGGGATAAACAACATTTTTTTTAAGTGGCTCCAATACTGTTCACTCTTCGTCTACATCCAATTCCAAATCGAGGAAATTGTTAGAAGCACTTAAATACTAATTTCACTGATGGATTGATGCGTTTCTATCAAATAAAAAATAAATCGTATTAATAGATTCCAGTGATTAAACCAATTTGCTCCAATTTTCCCACTATGTTCATTGATTTATTGCACATATCCAATGATAAATTTGTTACTCCTTTTCGATGAACAAGGGAATTTTGCAATTTGTAATTTTACTACGAAACAATGGTTTTAGATAAGCTTTGATAAGGCTTGTTACACTTAGAATCTAAAATTATATTCCAATTAATAGGTAAGGCAGCAATTGGAGGAAATTTTGCATTCGCTCTTTCGTCAAAAGAATCTGTGAAGAAATTCCACCATTCGGGCAAGAATGGCATCAGAAATTATATTTTTGTTATGCGATTTAGATGCATTTCTGCACTTACTGATTTTCGATCGATTTATTCCACGGATTATTTTTTTACATGTGATAAATATTGCTTGGGCTCTAGTAAACTTGGCAATTAAGAAATAGATCTTAGATAGTTAAATTTCAACATAATATAAATTTTACAAAAACTTTACCGGGAAGCTGGCTGGGCGGGGTAGTTTGGACAACATTAATTAATTTAATAAACTTTTATCTTTTGAAGGTTTTGCGCTCAGAAAGTGAACTCAACTTCAAAGTCCGCTGACTTGTTTAATCCGCATTCTTGTCATTTTTAGCTTGCACGTGCTTTTTGATTTCGCTCTGATCCTACCTTACGACAAAATGGAATTTAAAATAACCCCATTACTTTGCACTTGACAAGCGTAATTCGAATTCTGATATAATTGTTTATATTCGCTTACAGATAAAGGTGTTAGCGACGATTAATAGCAGCGCGCGAAAATGCTCGTTTGTATCGTTAGTATGTCAAAAATAATGTTTATATTGATTTATTTATAGCGAGATGATTACAGATAAAATTTGTTTCAATTTTATTACTCCAAATGTTGTAGTAGGCGATCTGGATAGTATTTGCTTTATATATTTCAATAATTCTCTCGTTTTATCCAGCGAAGCGTAGTCTGGGAAGTTGGGTGGCGCTTCCTTTACTCCATATTTATTTATAAATTTAAGTAGGGATTATGCATCACGAAGGGCACGATTTTTAATGCATTTTTATAATTTCATGTCTTCTAATAGTTCATGAATCAATACATTTCAGTTAATTTGGTGCGTTTCAATTAAGCGCAATTAGCTTGTACATGAACACAGAGATGCGCAAAAATTCCAAACTGGGGATTTTTCGAGGTACCAAAGCCCGAAAAATATAACGAATATTAAACCGAAGAACGACAAACATTGCACATGATATTTTTCATTGTCGCTATTATAACTGAGTTAAACTTATTTTGGCTTAAGGGTCGATTTTTGCGTTGATACACAAGACATATTACGCAAAATTAACGCAATTGTCTTTATCCATATACTAGACACTATGGATTGGAATTATACCTGGCATGAAATTATGAAGATATGTTAAATACTGCTTTATGAGGCGTAATTTCACCGTAAAGCTATTAATAAAAACAGAATAAATTAAACGCCATCCAATTTCCCAGACTACGCTTCAGCAGAATTTTTACAAAAAACTGTTAAGCGTGTGCGACTATAGTTTGAAACTAGTAAGTTTTTTTGGGATTTTAGCTGCTGCGCCGAGTAAACCGCCTCCGAAGCTGCAAAGCGCTTGTGCTTCCGAAACTTCAGGAAGGAATAAGAAGAACTGATTTCAAGCAATGACTGCGAACACTTAGGTGTTTTTATGCCATGTGTATCGTACACCTCATGGTTAAGTAAATACACATTTACGCACTTACTAAAACGTTTGTGAATGCCAGTTATACACACATCGCGTATTTGCTGCAAAATGCCAAAGCTCGGACGTTATTTGTTTAAATAATTTGCTTTCACACACCGGTTTCATTACCTGTGAATGTCTGTTTTGTTCTTTCTAAAAAACGAGTTTTGGTGGCTTATGGGAGACGCTATATGAGCTCTCATAATAGACTTGAGAGCACGGGGTGTCTGAATCAAAAAATTGATGCCAATGCAAAAGTGATAGTAAATTTGGATTCTCTAAGATGAAAAGGTGTTGTTCGCATGGCATTTTAGGATATTTTTTTTCTTAAAGTTGCAGATAGCTGGGCCCTGGCCTGCATCGAAGCAGACGCGGTTCTAAAGCATGTATATTGAAATAAAACCATCATTGCCTGTTCCTGCGTACCAAAGCAACGCTCGCGTTCCTGCTATTTTATACGACTACGTTTGTATTCTATACGAGTGCGAGTCCTGTGGCTCGCAGGACGATATATAGTGTGTTGGTGTATTTAACTTGCAATTATGGGAGGTAAGACTGCATTCCTTCAATTGTTAATGGTCCTTATGCATTGATTTTTCCTCTGTTGGTGTCTTATTGACCTTGTTTGCGCCCTGTTCTTTCATCATTCACATATTTTCTGCACTTTTGTTACTCTTTTTTTCGGAACTGCGATCAGGAGAATTCTGCAAATTTTTCAACTGATACTAAAAATAGTACTATAAGAGAATTGTTTTTATCAGTAATAGTTCTAACTGATAAGTTTGGAAAAGGGCATCATCATTATCAGCCAGCTAGACATATGCACTTGACCTGCCTTAAAGAAAGTCATTAGTCTGAAGGAAACGGTTTGCTCATTCATCAATATTCCATTAATATAACAAATCTAACTGTCTGCAATTAAGTATTGTTTAAATCAGAAATTGTTGATGAATATTTGACATGACCGCTAACAGAATTTCAAGGTTTCGAGATGGATTAAGTTGCTTTGATAAAAATTTAAAATCCACTTATTTCGATGTGTTTAATAATAATCTTCTATTTCCACTTGGAGATGCTGTAAAATGCACCCTTTTCATATACATGTACATACATATAAATTTATATTTTTTAATATTCTCACCAACACGCTCGTTTGACTTTTTTGATAAAATTTGCAGCAAATTTCGATGTTAGTCCATTATAAAAGGCGCCTTAGTGATGTGAGTAATTTTCGAAAGTTTCGCTTTTCTTTTTGAAAATTGGCATCAATTTTGTTTTGTTTGCCCGCTCGCAAGTTGATTTATTTACAACCACCTGGCAATAATTGAATATTTTGCAGGTTGAGAAATTTCAAAGCAAGAAATTTTCTATTTTGTGGGCGCATTTTTCAGCCATGATTTTTTTTAGAAAAGCATTCTTATTATGGACAGAAAATCTAGGTTCAAACTGCGCTTCACACTGCAGTTTCGGAGTAACTTTCAATTCAACATTCATTCAACTCGAGCTGGTTTTTTAAGCGACAATTCAATAATGCAAAATCAGTAGTCACAAATGATAAATATTCATGTTAGAAACCTGACTATTTCCCAGTTAGTATTTGCTCAGTATTGTTAGGATATTGAATGAAACGGCGAACTGATTTGACGCATTAAGAGCATGTTATTGAGGTAGATATATAAATAGAGAATGAGAAAATCTGTGCGGTCTATCAATTTCTAAAATGATATCTTAAGACCTTGCTTCCATCATTATCCTCCACCTGCGTAAAAATTTAATGTCTGGAAATCGTACGTCGCAAATAACAGGATCATTTTTATTTTCACAAATTCGTTTGGCGATTCTGAGCCAGATCGTTTTAGGATGGTTTAGTGTGGGATGTATTCGTATATCTGAAATAGTTATAATATTATCGCCAACATTAAAACTAAAAATAAAACAAGGGATATATACGCAGTTAACTAAAATAAAATGGAAAATTAAACTTGCACTTGGGACACATTTAGAGTCTTTGATGTGGTATATTTAGGAGAACATTATTTCCGTCGTGTTAAATGCACCCATATTTTTAGACGAGCCGACTCCCTAGTGAGTTTATTAATAACCGATATCTCTATTATTCGATAGTGAACATAAAATAGAAAATTATGTTTATTGAAGGAACACCCGTGCAAATAAGTCGGGTGCATAAATCACACGTGGATTAAGTTATTCTTAACATTATTCCGAGCTGATGGAATTTATCGAGAAATTTGCCCAATAATTTTTAACCTACTTTAGTGATAATGTATTTTTTGGAACAAGCTTTAGTGCCAAAAACTGTTTCCGATCGTTAATAGATCGGGGTTTTCGGGCCAGGACACGCATTGCTCTACTTGTCCGCTAATACTTTCCATTCATATAAATATGTCCCATTTCGAACTATTTTCATGCGTTAATGAACTCATTGAAGTCAATTTCAGCCATTTAAATCCAATATTAAGCCCACATTCTCTAAATTGATGCCCTTTTGTTAAGCTTTCACAATTCCCGCCTTAATCTAAAAAAGTCTCCTTGTTCTGGACAAATGTTATTAATGTCATCGAATTGGCTGTTAGATTTATCAGAAAATGTATTTACCAAAACATTACTTATTCGGGAACATAAAATAATCGCCTCGCAAGTTTGATAAATCGAGCTAATCGTTATGGTTACGTTTAATTCTTATTTTAATTTTTTAAAATTATATTTATATTTCTGGTTGTTTCCTTTGCAGGTTCAGCGTGGGTAACTTTGGCCACAAATGATTCCTATTCTTTAGGTGCCTTAGTTTTGGCTCATTCTCTAAAGCAAACAGGCACTGTTCATCAATTGGCTGTTCTAGTAACCCCTGGTGTTACTAGTGCTATGCGGTAAGATTATTGGACATTTCGTTTTCATTAATTTATATATTAATTAATAACTGGCGTATAGACGTGCTGACATTGAATTATGTTTACCGCATCAGATAGCCATACGCATATCAAATATTTTATGGCTGTTCGGATTACATTGAACTCATTCACTTCAAGTCAAAATTAGTACAATTTATTTTAAAGTTGCTATAAAATAGATGTCTAGTTGATTTTTAATGTCATTATTATAGTCAAGATCAGTTAGTGTGCTGTTAAGTAAGTGCCCGACTGAAGCTAAGAGTACAGCATAGTCAAGGCACTATTAGCTTCTATTTTTAATATTAAATTTACTTAATAGCCTCCATTCAATGAAGGTGCGATGTATTTTTTATTTTTGGCAATTGTTCAAGTTTAATGCTATCTTACTCTACTATTTCATGTATGGGCGCCACAAATCGTTATGTAACATTAATTCGTTTATTTTTATCAAATAACTGTTGTCTATCAACTGTTTATTGACTTCGCATTGAACTTATTTATTTATCTCTGTTACGAGCATCGCTTTATCAGAATTAAAGAAACTCGTTAATTTAATTTTTGTCAGTTTGGTTTTTTGCATATTGAAATGAAACTTCTTTTCAGAGAGAAGTTATCATCAGTATTCAATCTAGTGCAAGAAGTGAATATTCTTGATTCACGAGATGAGGCGAACTTGAGGTTGCTGAAAAGACCCGAGTTAGGCATAACATTCACAAAGTTGCACTGTTGGCGGCTCACACAGTTCGACAAATGCGTATTTTTAGATGCAGACACCTTGGTATGTTTTAAAAGGGAAACCGAACTATATTTACAGAGCAACTGTAATTATTCTTGCTTTCAAGAGATGCATTATGATTAAAATTAGCTTCCACTCTTCACCTAAAATAAACCATCCGCTTGATCTGCACGAGTGTTGGCGGAGTCTCAGCCGCCCCTTTACTTTGTTTCAATTTCAGGTCCTTAAAAATTCCGATGAGCTTTTCGAACGGGAAGAACTGTCCGCTGCTCCAGATGTAGGATGGCCTGACTGCTTCAACTCCGGAGTATTTGTCTATCGTCCGTCTTTGGAAACTTACGACAAATTGATTCAGTTTGCCTTGGAAAAGGGCAGCTTTGATGGTAAGCGAAACATTAATTGAATTTGGATAGTAAATATTTACGAAAATTTTGGTACAAGCGGATGCCAGATTCGCGTGGATTCGCTAGTTTGAAAATGTAAACATTGGCGTACATACTCTAAATAACTTGGCAGTGAAGCTGGAACCTAATCATTATTTTCACCCAAGCATCAAACACCTTGAAATTGAAAATATTAATGTCATAGCTATGCGATGTTGGCACTGAAACGCTATGTCACTATTCGTTAAGCGCAAAACGCACTAATTTTTTTAGCATGGTCTGCTTCATCCTATTAGCCATGGTTCGATTGTATCAAATCACTTTTTAGAGGTTTTCGATAGCTTCATAGACCGCACCTCTCACATTTTAAATATATCTTTCAGACAACTAAGCTAAAGTTCTACCATTTTTCTGCAAATCTGTCCTGCACTAAAACATATCTGCATATTAACAATGGATGTTGAAGCATCTCGCTGTACATAATAGCGACCTTCGGACTGTTAGGGTCTGGTATTCTGAAAGATATGCATCGGTATTCCCACACAAAGTGGAGTATTTGCATAAAGGAACCGCTCTTTGAGTCGTAAATCCCCCAGAGAGATCGTTACAGTTTCACCAAGCCAAAACAATTAATATTTATTTTAATACTAAATGAATACGGGATTTTCGTTTTGTTTCAGGTGGCGACCAGGGGCTTTTGAATCTATTCTTCTCCGACTGGGCCCATAAGGATATTAGCAAACATCTTCCTTTCATCTACAACTTGTGTTCGACTGCGTGTTACTCATATCTTCCAGCTTTCAAACAGTAAGAAATTTTCCATATTCGTATTTAATGCAACGATGTAATTTGACTGGGCCCTAAATCTTGATTACTTCCTGTTGCGCATTTCAAAGCTTTCGCTTTAATGGAACTTGGAACAATTGAAGGCGGTGGTTGGTACAATAATAAACAATCAGGGATTTTAATAATTGCGTCAATTCTATTTTTAACAGAGTTTAAAATATTATTTGCTATTATAGATTTGGAGCAAATGCAAAAATAATTCACTTTATCGGAGCCCAGAAGCCCTGGCTTCAATACTTCAACACTGAAACCAAAAAAGTTCAACCCTCTGGCGAGTCTTCACATTTGCAGGAGGTTTTACAGCTATGGTGGAATATTTTCTGTTCTCTCATCCACCCTCATTTGTCACCTGCGATGGTATGTAAACTGTGTTTAACCAAATCTCTACTTTCTCTAAATCAATTCGCCATAACATTTACTCAGTTGTATTATAAAACATTTTCTCTTTCAATTTTATTAACTCTAATAACATTAATGTGTCTTCTTATTGATGTGTTTTACACGATGTTGTCTGATGTGTTAAATCTGCTTTCAAATTTTACAAGCCTCCAGTGGAGTTTTTTGAAAACTTTAATCTAAATGAGGTGAGTTGTTGAGAAAAAGGTACTTTTCGAACTATATATAGTTTTCGTTCTTTTAATGTGCTATTTCCAAGTTCAATATACGACGATCTGTTAATTCGATGCGGACGTGGTATGTATATTGTGCATTTTGAGTTTTGCAATGTTTTGGAATGCTTTAAAAATCAAACAGTTTACTTGTGCACATATTTGAGTGAATTATTAATTATTTCCAAGACTGTGTTATAGAATGTGGCATGATTCGGTACAGACTCAAGTTTTTGTATTTTGAGTAAAATGGCTTCTAATACTTAACGTGCACTTTTATAGCATATGCACTGATATTGAAATAGTGAGTGCTTGTAAAATTACTGTAACTATAATGAAGTCACTTTTCCTAGCAACTAAACGTTTTAATTTTCTTTCTTTTGCATGATTTTTTTTATCTCAGCAAGGTCAGTCGCAGCACGGAATGAGTCCATCTTATTTCCCACCCGAATTCCATCCGTCCCCTAATCCTACTGCGTCTGCGGATGACTACGAAAGTGCGTGGGATCCGTGGGACGAGTATGATGAAAAAATCTCACAAAATACTAATAACTCATTGATCTCCACTCATTATAATCAAAATCAGCCCATTGAATCTCTAAATACAAACACTAGTCGTGTTGCTAATCAGCCCAGCATTCATAGTCACTCGCAGTCGCATAATTATAGCACTTACACTGTCCAAAACAATAGTTATTATCAACCGTCGATTCCTACTGTACTATACCAGCATATTCCTAGGGTGCCTGCTCCTTCCCCAATTCCTCAAGAAGTGTATTCACCTGCTCAGTTCCATCCCTCAATTCAGCATCCTGAGCATAACCTTCAGCACCATCACGAAACCCATCAACAACCTTCTCCATGTCCTCCTCAACATTTTCTTTTGGAACAACTGCCTCAACGGCCTGACGCTCATTATTATCCACCTGAACCACAACAGCACCATCAGTTCCATAATGAATCACAATTTCCTCAACCTCATGACCACCATCATCATGAAGAACCAGAGAAATTCGATCATTATGATCAGCCACATGTTCACTATGCTGAAACTCATTCGCCCGAAGAACCTCAATCCCATTTCACTCATCAGGAGCCTCAGGTTCATGAACAATTCACCTCCCCTAGTCCTGTACGATCCAGATCTCCAAAAGCTCCCGATCAAAGTCCTGTATTACCCAAAGAATGCGAGGCTACAACTACCGTCTCCAACAGTAGGTCGCTCAGTATTACTATTGAGGAAAATAGTAGCCAGGAAGACGTAAGTATTCGAAAAATACTTATTGCTTTATAAATATATGCAATTGTGACTAATATAAAAACTAACATTTTTTGTACATATTACCAAACATATCCGTATATCATCAAAGGTTGATAAAACTATCGTTTGGACATTTTTACTTCTTTAGATTTTTTTTAAAGCGTTGGTTGGTAAGAGGATTTAAGGGCAATCTTCTGGTTTTCAGGCATCTCTCTCGAATATATTCTGCGGTACTTTTCTTGGCCCCCAATGTAGTGTTACGATAAAAATTGTTAATAGCTCGGCAGTATTTTGAAACATTTTTCTTATTTTCTAGGCTGGTTTGGCAGGAGCATTCTCCCAGTTGACGTTAGGAGTAGCACGAACTGTAGAACAAGACGCCCTAGAAAACGTATTGAGAAAACAAGCTTGGGAAGTAGGAAATATCGATTATTTAGGAAAAGATTCGTTTGAAAACATTTGGAGCAAAATCAGTGAAACTTTAAGTGCTGCTCCTCATCAGCCTGAAGAGCTTGTTGCTGCAGAGTCCGAACTTCCTACTGCCTCTGCTGAACCAGAAATCGCTCCTGCCGAAAGCCAAAGCCAAACAGGTGTGCAATGAGTAATTTTTTTTAAAAGAATTAACACAACCCTGAATGCGTGTTTACGTTTTTATTAATCATCTTTCCATTGTGTCTTTCGCACACAACCTGCATGTTTATCGTTCGTTTTCATCCTATCTAGAACAAAAATTTATTTAGTGTTATGCTCATTTAATTGTAATTTCAACAGTTGGTTTTTGCTACTTGTGACGTCCTTATTATTCAGAATATTAATATTTTATTTTCCTAATGCTGCTTGGAATTAATCAGAGTTACGAGGACTAGACATCGAAGCAAAGAGACTAGGTAGTTCATCTAAATCAAAAACACCGAGCAAGAAATCACCTAAATAATCATTCATGGCTTCAATTGTCTTAATAAACTGTCGAATCTCAGTAATCATTAGAAATATTATTAATGTTGATTTACATTTTTATCCATCAGTTGAAGATGTTGCGCCTTTCATGTAACAATAATAATTATAATAAAACGGTTTCTATTTTAGCGTTTGTAGCTTTGCTGCCCCAGGCGATTAAGGTACCATTCGAATTTCTGACTTTAAATCTACAAACATGATTTGAATGATATTCTGATTGCTTATAGTAATGTGTGTGCCGTCATACAGTTTGGGGTAGATTAAAAGGCAGGCAATAACGCATGACATCCACGGCTTATTAATTCCTGGACATAACCAGCGTGTCTTCATGGACTAATGGGTTTCATTCAAGGGTTATTTATGTAAAACCTCTTTGCAGCCCTTCAAGATGTGGCCACTCCCGATCTTCCGCCTGTTCCTCCCATCGATCCCAAAGTAGATTCACCTGAATCTAGTCCCGTCCAAGAACCTTTAATTAGTCCGAGCCAACCAGAATCTGTTTTGCCACAACCGCCATTAGAAACAGTTCCTGCCGAAGTTATTAACGAGGCGGCGAAGGAGAGTCCAGTAGAATCTGCCGCGGAAATTAAGCAACCTGATTCGCCGGTTTCGGTTGAAAAAGAGGCGGAAGTTAAAGAGGCAGCTGCCGAAGTCCCGGTGGTAGCTGAAAAGGTCGAGGAGACAGTTATAGCGCCACTGCCAGCAGCGGAAGTTGAGCAACCTGTTTCAGCTCCAGTAGTTGAAGCTCCTCCTGCCGCACCGGTTTCTCCCATTGAACCTTCAATTCCGGAGCCTAAGCCTGCAATAACTGAGGCAATCGCCGCACCTAAACCCGAAACACCTGCTACACCCGTAGATCCAGTAACTGAGGTTATTGAAGCTCCTAAGCCTGATTTAGCTGTGACACCTGCAGTAGCAAAAACTGAAGCTGTTGTAGTTCCTAAGCCCGAGGCAAGTGAAACGCCTGCAGCTGCTGAGGCTCCCAGACCTGAACCAGCAACAGCAACAGAGGCACCTGTAGCAGTTGCACCACCTGTAGCAGTTGCACCACCTGTAGCAGTTGCACCACCTGTAGCAGTTGCACCACCTGTGTTAAAGGCAACACCATCAGCTGCAGTTGTTGCTCCAGAAGAACCTGCTGTGCCTGAAAGTCCGGCAGCTGCAGAAGCGACGGCGAAACCGCTGCAATGTCCACTAAAGACTAAAGTTGAAGAGGCTACACCCCCAGCTACTCCAGGTACCCCTCCAGCGACTCCACCGGTGGAAAAAACGAAACAAGCATTGACCGCGGAAGCAACTGCTCCTGAGACACCGCCCCCGAGTGAAGGGGCTTCAACCCCCACGCCCCCACCTAGAAAGACTGACAAGCCGAAGAAGGTAGCAGCTAAACCGAAAAAATGATTCAATCAGCTCTTTTATGCGATTATAATGTGCCATTTAAATTATGTGTGTTGCCTGTGTGATCAATACTCGATTACTATTTTGTTTCCTATTTATTTTTTGTTAGGATTAATAATACATTTTGTTACTAATAACGTCACACTTACACCTTTGTCTCTCTGATTAATAAATGAGATGTTTTTTATTGCCTTATTTAATCCTGAATATTATATTTTTGTCTGTGGGATTTCGGCGGTTTCAGCAGACGACAATTTCGCCGGTTTCAGTGTATCTTCAGTTTAAATAACTGCAGACACTTGCAATGAAAGTTGGCAAATAACAGGTAAGGAATAACCATCTAATAAAGATCAGTCAGAGGTTACTGATATAAAACTTAAGTAATTTCAGGCACCTCTCATCAGCTGAGATAAAAATAATTTCTGTATTTTTTATTTTTTATTCAAATTGATAACCAACAAAACAATAGAAATGTAACAAAACGGTAGATGGACAATTCAATTATGTTCAATTTAAAATCGAGATCGCTTCAATATCGCAAAGCTTATGAACTAAAGTTTTTATGTCAATAGCTATCCTAAAACAACGATTGCTTAGAAAAATTATATGTATATGTTATGTTGTTTGTAATACTATGATTATTCATTACATGAATGATTACGTTTTATAAATGTAGATACATTGTAATGAACACATATATAACATTAGTAACGTTTCAAATTACATGTATCTACACGATGTTAAGAAAATCGCACATACAAATACAACTACGAAATTATCTAACTTTGTCAAAAATTCTACACACTCGCTTTATATATTTATTCAAACCTATTAAATTAAGTTTAGTACCATTTAAAACGTCCCGGTTTCAATTATTTTACCTAATTTCACTCTTTTTCCATAGTTGAATTTAAATGTTGCAAGATCTTAAATGCAAAAATAACCAAAGCGTTAATGTTATACAGTCATATGTATACGTGCAAAATTTTGTGTCATTTTATGTGTATCATTTTATCACGCGTTTAAACATTGTCGAAAAATTTTATATAATATGTGTTTATTAGAACGACTGTATATGCTTCTTTACTTATGATAATTTACCACAATGCGTTTGTGTTACACAGCTAAATATGTATCAATTTGCTTCAAATGTGTTATTTATTGGAACGGCATTCGTTATATCTTATGTTATCTTAATTTTATCAATATGCCCGTTTAGGCTGACAAAAATTAAGCAGTTTCAAGCCAAAAATTGATGTCATTTTGAGCTCCGAGAAAATTGATTTTTTCAACACATTTTGAAAAACAAACTGCAAGGGTAAATTATTGTCGAACTGGTTTACTAGTGATCAAATATCAGAAAATGTCCCTGTTTTTGGCTTAAACCTGAATTGTGATAAAGAAGTTGAAAGTTGAACAATGAAGCCGTGTAGCTTAAAATATTTTGTTAGCGATTGCCATTATATGTTATATTTTATCACTTTGCATCTAGGATTTTGGAAAGCTTCTGATATTATTTATTATGGTAAAGAACCAACAATTCTCCTCAACGATATTGATTATATTAAAACGATGATCTCGTATAAGTAATATTGATTTTTAACTAAAATGCTCCTTGATTTAAAGCTTAGTTTTTTAATGAGTATTTGCGAAGTACACCCTTATTACATGCTGATAATTATACTAGCCTTATCTCTTATTTTTATAATTTTTTAAACGATTTTTGCCTAATTTGGAAAGCTACTAACAAGGCCATATTTAAATTAGATCAATTGTTGGTAACTTTACTTTTCATTGATCTTTCCCAGACTTTTTGAATCGGGGATATTAAATAGCTTCTAAGTGTCCATACATCAGCTAGTTTGACTGAACGCCATTTTTCTACAAAATTAATACACAGCCTGAGCCTGTCCGTATTTTTATATAATTTAATATTTAAGCAACATAATTATTTACACCTAATTTTAGCACAATTTTTACAGTGGGTTTCTTTTATTAACATCTATCATAAAAATCTGAGTAGATCTAGATAATTTAGACAGCGATAAGTGTAGCACACAGCTGAATTATACTATTTTGAATTTGTAACTAAACAGTTTGTTATTGTCAAACTAATTAGAATCAGTGACAAGGAAATGTTGCTTTCTGTATAGGACAGGCATTGACAATTTCGATTCAATTATTATCTAGTAATTTTTAAATAGTATCATACTGCCATTGGTCATTGTCTAAATTATTTTAACTTTAATTGAAGTATCCAATTTTAAGTGAATGCTTGGGAATAACTCTACTTCCAAATTGAATACTTTCTTGCATTAAGACTAACATCATAAACTTCCCAAACCCTCAATATTTATATAAAATTGTAACAATAATATACGAATTATTTAGATATTTTGTAACGAAATTATAAATAACAGCTCTTCTGTTTTTTGAGTTATTGGGTGGGTATGGGTGACATTTCAATCAAATTAAAAGCAACTTAGGATCGAGAAAAGCACATCTTAAATGATAATACATACTTATCGATTACATAATTGTGCTCGTTGAGTAAATCGTGATTTTTTTGAAAATGTCACACATACAAAGATGCGTCAATTAAATTTAATTACACGAGGCATACAAAAATTTTTGAATTTTTGCAAAAATTATCCCTTCGCCCCTCCCCGATAGCGATCCTTGTAGCATGTGAAGTTAGCTTGATAACTTAGCAGTTGAAGAAAGCACCATTATTATACAAACTTTATCCTTAATTGCTGCTTTGGAAATTAAAATTGTGTTGGTCGAATCGACTTCACCGTTATTAACTCCAGACTTTTCTCAATAGGAAAAAATGATTTCAGTTTCTCACTATCAGCTCCTGGATAGTTTATTGCTAAGTTCGAATTATTGAAGTACATACATGTCCTTTAATATATTTTTTCTTTTATGTCAAGTTTTGGGTTAAAGTGAAATTGATTCAACAAACAATTCAGAAATGTGTTTAGAATACTCTTCAACTTGACAGAAATGCTATAATATCGCAACATTTGCTAATTTGTGCATATAGACTTCTTCAAGATATGCAATTCTTATTAAAATTGAAAGCTGATATCTTGAACCGACAGCGGCTTTATGGAAACAATAGTTTTAACATAGGAGGTATTTTGGGAAAAAATACTTCCATATTTCTGCCTATTAATTTGTACTTTTACATCATTCTGATCTATCACAAAAATGAGGGCTTGTCGATCCAAGATTCTGTATGTAACGTGCTGTAGCGATAAATACCAAACAGTGCTAGCTGAACATATTCTAATCTGAATTTTATTAACAATATTATATTCTGCACTCGAAGGATAGCTTTCTCAAGCGATTAACACTTCGTATGATTTATCCTAATAATTTCAAAGGGTTGGATTGCGAAAAAGCCCATATCAGCATAGAATACTAGCGCTGATTTATTTCAGCAATTGCTCGGTTTTTATTGTGTTCTTAATTTTCTTCCCTTAACTCGTTATATTTACTGTCGTACCAACTGTTAGTATTCTTGTTAATGATATTGGCTTTGAAGTTGCATTGTTTTTAACAATACCGAAATAATACAAGATACCTAGATTGGAGAACTACCCACTATCATAAATCAGTCCAAATTCATTCTATTGCTATTGATTGAGAACTGAAAAAAATAATCAGTCTTCTAAAAATCTGATTTAAAGATGTTGAGTAATAGTCGTCATTTTGAAATTAACAGGAGAGACTAGTAAATAGAAAACCTTATCAACTGGCATCATATTGAAAACTCTTCTTCGATTCGATTGATCTATTGACTCAAAAACAATACGCTGGGATCATATTAAATTTTGAATTCAAATCGAACATCACTCGAATCCAGAGCAAGAGTTTGCAATTGTTAAGCAGTTCATACAACTGTACTAATACATATTATGATTTAGCTACGTTTGAAAAGTTGTGTGAAATGCCTTGCAGCTGATGATTTTAATAAGATACCTTCTCCACCAAACTACACTTACACAAGCTGATCCACCAGCCCGATTATCTCGATTATTCCATGAAGACTACTGCAATAGTTCCCTAACTTCGATCAAGTTGAAACGAAAAGCCGAGATAACGAACCGTACCAGTAACCTCTTAGTTCATAGCGCTCCAGGTGCTATGGTGATGTTAAGGAGGGGCGGGGCCGATCTCATACGTCTGCCGATTTTGAGCTGATACTGGGCGTCCGACTGTGGATAACCACTTTATGCCCATTTCTCTCCACCAAAACTGCTGTCTGATGAGCTTCCAGTTCGTCTATATCTCCGTCTCCATCTCCTTCATCACCTAGTTCACCTTCCTCATCTCCTGATTGATCAGTAGCTCCGCGGAGCCTTTTATGTTTCCTCCAAGCATTCTGTATGAGTCTTGCACAGTACTCTTCTCTTTGCCTCCAAAGGGTGGAGCTAACTTGCTCGTAACCGAGCTCGTTTGGTTTCGGTTGCACCTCGCTCAGTTCAGCAGTTTCATCAATGGCGTTACCCTTTCGCGCAAAGAAATCTTTGGTCAATGCGTCCAGAATATCAACGCAGAACATTAAGTCACCCTTGCAGATGGGTATATCCATGGACACAATTTTATATTTGTTGGGCTTGTGAATCTGTAAAGGCGGCTCTAGAACATCCAGGAAATCTGAAAGTTGATCGTATCGGATATACTGCGTTCCGTCAGGATCAAACTGTTGCCAGATTTCATAATACATATCATAGTCGTCGTCTGTTAAGCCTTCCTGTACGTCTTCTGTGGCTTGCGAGTAATTTTCCAAAATGACCGCTATGTACATGTTTATTACAATCAAAAACGATATCACCAAGTAGCTTAGAAGGAATGCTATTCCAATAGTTGAGTTGCCGCAGTTTCCAGTTTCGCCTATCTCGTTGTCTGGCTGCTTACAGTCTTCTTCGTTTATTATTCCATCCAGAACACCATCCCAACCAGCTGAGGTGGACATCTAAACATTGCGGGGGTTACAAAGAAGGAAAAGCTCCCATAAAGTGCAAACTTACTTGAAAAAGCAGAATCATGGATTGTCCGAATGTTTTAAAATTATACACGTCGTCCAAACCGCTCTTGTCTTTGACATGCATGAAGAACGACATGCCGAAGATCGCAAAGATGAACATTACTAAAAAGAGCAGCAAGCAGATGTTGAACAGGGCTGGCAATGACATGGCAAGCGCAAAGAGCAGAGTTCGGATTCCTTTTGCTCCTTTGACCAGTCTGAGAACTCGACCGACTTTTGCTACGCGCACTACCCTAAGCAGCGTGGGCGATACAAAGTATTTCTCAATAATGTCACTGAGCACTAATCCCAAAATTGATAAAATAACTACCACTAAATCGAACAGATTCCAAGGTTCAGTAAAGTAGTGATAACGCAAAGCAAACACTTTCATGAGGCACTCTGTAGTAAATATAACTATGAAAATCATGTTTAGATAGTCCAAAACTTTCGTAAATGTCTCTTTCTGTTGGTAGTGGTCCATCGTCATTGTCAACATATTTAGTCCTATAAACAACATGATGAACATGTCGAATTTCTTATTAGTCACTATCTCGAACACTATTGCTTGAGGTCTCCACTGAAAAAAAAAGAAGATATTTTTTACCATCGCTGTTGTCCTAATCTCTAATAATAATAATTCAACAAAATTACCCTAGGTCTAGGAATGGCTTTCATAGGCTTCTTGGAACCCATTTTCTTCATCGCATTGTAGTACTTCTTCTGGTCTTCCGTCATGAACATCTCCAAAGATCCACCTGCGTAAGATAAAAACTTCCGTTAAAACAAGTCTCTAGAACATCTGCCATATTTCCTGCCATAGCAATACTTATCTTTTTCTTCTGTTCATTGAAGTTATCAATGATTACTCCTATAAACAGATTGAGAGTGAAGAATGAGCCAAATATAATGAAGAACACGAAATAAAGGTACATGTAGATGTTCGTCTCTCGAATGGGCTGTTTGTGCAGCTGAAAAAAAATACAATTTAATGTACTGAACTTAAAAGTGAAACCCACAAATTCCTACTTCTCTAGAATCAATCGCATCGTTCATTATTTGGATCCAGCCTTTGAAAGTGGCCACTTGGAATAGACAAAGATATGCCTTTCCCACATGGTCGAAGTTCATTGGTGAGTTGTCCCAAGTGTAATTTTCTGCTTTACAGGCATTGTAGTCGGGAATAATTTCCCAACTGAGCGTAGTTTTGTTGTTGTCAACGCACTGAAACAACCATCAGTAAGTTGCCGTTCTACCAAACTAAAATAAAAGTCCAATACCTTGTAATATTTCCCAGCAAAAAGCTGGACGCCCATAATAGCAAAAATTAGCCAAAAGATCAAGCATACTAACAATACATTGAATATAGATGGTATGGCTTGGACCAGTGCATTTACTACCACCTACAACATTAATCGTGAGCCGCAAAACTCGCTAAAGTTCATCAAATAGTTACCCTCATGCCCTGCATTCTAGACATGGCTCTTAAAGGCCTCAAAGCTCTGAGCGTTCTCATGGTTTTAAATGCTTGAATGCCCCCCGCACCGCACAAAGAAGCAATGAAGTTGATTAGCGATACCATGACTATAACAAAGTCGAGCCAACACCAAGCATTGGTAAAATACTTTTGGAACCCTAAAGCCAGCCACTTGATCAACATTTCAAAGAAGAATATCACCGTGAAGATTCGATCCATGTAGTAAAGAATGTCTTGCAAAATTGGTCGCGCTTGCAAGTGGACGTCTTCCAACGCTAAAGCCAAACTGCTTAGCAAAATCATGGTAATAACAGCTGTTTCAAAGTATTTATTTTCAATTAGCTGAAAGGTCTTGTAGCGGAGGTTACCCCAGCCTTGCCAGAAAGGCGAGTCTTCATCTCCCGCCAAAAAGGGAAATTTCTTGTAGCAGGTCTCTGGAAAACAATCAGCTGAGTATTCATCGAGTATTATATCTTCGGTAACTCCATCCAGTATTAATCCCTCATCCAAAGGCTCTTGGCAATCGCAATCTTCTTCTTCCATCTCTGCAATAAAAATCATTCATTGTTAACTAGAAGTTGTTATGTTGAAACAGTGGAAACTGGTGAATAAAGCGTCAAAATACCTTCATCGATTCCCAACTCTTCTTTGCTGGTATCGCGCTTTTCCTCCTGCTCGTCTAGAATATCCGCACTTCCTTTATGACTTTCTTCTTTGAACCGATTTTTGTGGCTCCCATACGACTTATTGCTGATTTCATCGTCGTCCAGGTGCCCAAGGAGCTCGTGGTGTGCAATGGAGTTCCCAATGGTCTTATCCAAATTGTTGATGTTATTCATGTTCTTCCCCCGTTTAATATTTTGCTTCAAAACGTCCCCATGTATGGTAAATTCCATGCCATCTCCGATAGTAACCTCCAGTTTGTTATTGGGACTTTTCTTGTCTTTAAAAATCATGCCATCAGCAATTATTTCATCACCTTGAATGTCAAGCACGCCGTCTCTGGCATCTAAAAATCGTTCAATTTTGGTACGTCCTCGACTTCGACGGTCAGGCTTGTCTTATGTTACCCGATAATTGAAAGAATGACAAAGCTCTACTCTTTGATTATTAAATAGCTTTTTTGAGTTGAAGGAAGGAAGCAAATTAAATCAGCTTATACGTAATTACAAATGCAACTGGCAACAAAAAATTACGTCAGAGCTTGTGGAAACCAAAAGTGCAGGAATTTCACTGATTTCGTATCAAAACTCAATAAGCAACCAGTACAGACAAAATGAGTAAACTCAAAACCAATTTTGTAATAAAGTTGATCAATTAAACTGGCATTTAAGCTGAATATAAAATCAAGTAGGTACTACTAAAAACGTTAGCTGGCGGTCAAAAATTTGAACTAAATTCCAGCACACATGAGTAGAAGAAATAATTTGTATCAAAAAATCTATATCAGCATGCTCTATTGATCTGCTCTAACATGAAACATGTCATTGTGTTCGCATTACAAATTACACAAAGTGATACACCAACAAAATATAATTTATATATCAAGTGCTGTGTATTTCCTTCCTGATCCTATCGTACTAATTGAGAAAAGTTCAAAGAACATAGATATTTCAAGCTTTTTCCAAGCACTACGAATGTTTACATAAGCAAAATTAGGAGCGAGCTATCAGATTGTTGGATAAAAACCTTGGTTCCAACTGTCGGACGGTCCCTCACCTGGAGGCTGATCGGAAATTTGGTTCGTCAGTTTGAATCTCACAAGTTTAGCGAAATGCAGGCAGTTGGATTTGATCCAGTTGATAAATCGGCCGATTCTATCAAATGCTTCTGCTATTTTGTTAGTATCATTATCTGCAGTTGGTGCTGACAGACTGGATGAGCCAAAGTTGCTCAAAAGCAAGGCTAAGAAGAGGTTGAGTACCTGTGTTGAGTAAAGCGCATTTAGGCATCCTGTTTCAAGCTGGTGATCGGTTACGTACCACAAGATTCCCGATTACCACAGTTGCTAAAAAGAATGGAATACACGAAACATCCCCTACCAACATGCAGTCCCACATGGATTCAATCCACTCTCCACATAACACCCTAAACACTATCATAAAAGAGTGCATGAAGTCGGTGAAGTTCCATCTGGGCATTGAGTGGTCTGGGAAGCGATCTACATTATCTATAACCAAAAGTTGGGTCTTGAAGTGTTCCCTAAATAGATCACTAGTTGAAAACTTACCCCAATAGTTCTTTCCAAAAAGTTGCATCCCCATCACCGCAAAGATGAATATAATGATGCACAATACGAACGTCAGATTACCCAAAGCACCCATAGTTCGACCCATGATGGATATGAGCAAGTTCAAAGTGGGCCAGGATTTCGCTAGTTTGAATACTCTCAGCTGCAAATTTGGTTCAATATTGACTGTGCTGGTGCCTTTAAAGGGAGTTGGCTTACCAATCTGAAAGATCGCAGCACTGACAAGCCCTGAACACCTTCTAGTCCCAACTCCAACAAAGACAGTGTAACAATAATGAAGTCGAAAATATTCCAGCCCTCTTGGAAGTAGAACTTGGGGCTCATGGCAATTAGTTTGCAAGTAGCTTCAATCATGAATGTTGCAGTGAAGAACTGCAATACATTGTTGGAGTTAGTTGATTATTTTCTTCTCTGTGTGGATCGCTTACGTAATTTCCACTCTTCAATGCTCTTTCCAGATCTGGATCCATATTGTGGTGATCCAGGGCCATAAATAACGTATTGACAACAATGCAAAGCGTAATAAAAAGCTCAACAAACGGATCAAAGACCAGAAGAGCGACATATTTTTGAATTTGCAACCAACACCAACAGCAGTCCCACACGCATAGCATGTCTATGATCCTCAAGGCGTTTTCCAGCATTTTCTCTTTCAGAGTGGGTTCTTCTTGTTCTTCCTCCTCCTCGTTTTGGGCTGAGAAATAATAAACAGCCACTGTATAAAAGAGAAGGAAGCGTGAGGTTGACACACTCTTTTATGGGGAAAGAGATTTGGTGCAAGATGCGATAGTGCGACCACTATTCTTAACCGACTCGCTGGTTAAGTTAAGTATTTGATCAGTTGTCGCTTTTTAAGCATTCAGTTCTGTTCCATATACAAAGCTCATTTCAATTAACCTTAGGTTTAAAATAATAATGTAGATAGTTAATTGCATGGGAAACTTTTCGTAAAAAATATAAATTAATTAGCATAATTCGACTGTGGCGAGAAATCAGCATTTAAATTGACTCGAAGTTTTCTCAGGTTGGAACAGGAAAGTTTGTTCATTTATTTTCAGTCGGCTGTTGCGATGCAGTTTTAAGTTATGGAATAGAACTGGACAGTACAGAGAGAAAAATAGATCTGCAAAATAAAAACATTTGCAGAAAATGATGAAACACCATCGAAATCGCTTGTGCGAATTGAATTTACCAGGGCGCGGCAGAACATTTGTCCCTAAACGCGCTTTGGTAAATCGCTAAATTTGGGTTAAGCTGATTGTAATCATATTTCATCAAAAATAGTTTCGAGGAGCGGATTCGTATTTATTAATAACACGAGTTGGAATTTTGCGAAGTAACTAATTGATTAAATGGCAAAACTGCATTATCCCAGGCTATAGGGATGCGCGATGTTAAGCCCCAGCTTTTAATATGAATTCTGGCAATTTTCAAAAGTAGCTGTAGGACTTGAATATTTAAAAGTTTTTTGGAAATCTAGGCTTTGCTGTCAATAGCTTAACTCAAAGGTCGCACTTGTATAACTCGGTTAAGACGTTGCAGCAAGCAGTGAAGAGTTTGCACTGTTATCACCTCTAGTAGCTTGGTGCTAAATCAATATATCCACACGTATCTAGGACAGTGTCCTCCAATACTTGAACAGGCAAATTTTGTTTTTCCAACTATTTCCATAAATCACCTGGAAACTTTTCAGATTTTTCAAATATTGGAGGGTTAACTTGAAGTTGCTTATAGTGTCTCATCTAAGGACCTAAATTGCCATTCTCGTCACTATTAAGTAACATTACCTAATGGTTTTCGGATAGGATGGTTGCTTCTAACAAGTAAAATGATTAATGTAGTTGCAGGGAAACAATTTTAATGAAACGAGCACATAATGATTTTTTTCTCAACGAAGCGACTGGGGTAAATACTGTGCTACGTAAAATCTACTGTAGCTTTATAGGGTAGTTAATAATTAGGAAGTGTGAGAAGTTTTTCATGTTAAACTTGCTCTAGATGTGCCCAGGACTCTTGCTAAGTTTTCTCAAAAAAAGTCTGAGATTTTCTTAGCCCATATGGAACTACCAGAACAAGTATAATACCCAAATAGCTGTCAATTACAAAATCCTGTTCCTATTTTACCCTTACTACAATGTTGTTATCTATATACCCAAACTATTGTGCTCTATGACATTTATATCTTGTGCCAGACATCGAACTCAAGATTTTATTTACCTAATCAATCAAACGTTCTTGTTTTTTATCCTCCGAAAGTTCCAATATAAAATATTTTAATTAGTTGTCATGCTAGCAACGATACTGGATATGCTAAGTTGCTAGTTGTGTATTTATAAAAGCAAATTGCGATGGTGTGTTTTGTAATTTGTGAAAAAATGGCTTAGTTTGCGATGGTTCTTAATATTCATCAACTCACCTCCGTGTTCTTCAACCATTTCTCTACCTGCCGCTTGTTCGATGATGTCGTTCAGTACCATCACATCTGAAACCATTTGCAACCATAAAAAATGTTTAAAAGTTTAAAAGTAAAAAATGCAACTTATTGTGTAACTGTTTGTTAAGTCTTACCTTTCATATCAACCACATTTTGCCGCTGGCAAATGGTATCGATGAATGGATTGTCAAGTGCCTTCATTTTCTCACTTAGTTGACTAGTTGGTCCATCCTGTGAACAAGAATTGCATGAAAAAATGAAATCATCAAGGTTCGAAGGAGAACCATTTGGCGACTTACATAATCTCCCATTTTGGGTTTTCGAGAAAACTCCATAATATTATTGGAATTCATTCCTGGTCCATTTCTCATTGATCGATGCATGAGCTGGAACTCTTTCGTCATAGGCTGCTTACCATTGCCCCCAAAACCGCCCAAAAGGTCTGCGTGAGAGGTGTAGGACATCCGTGAAGCGTGCGAAGTGTACGATGAGTGACGTGACCCTAATTTGGAGTATAACACTTTAACAAATCACCGAAAAGTTCGATGCAAGAAAAAATATGAATAGTTCATTTCGTTTTCAGCAGCGCAAGTTTTAGATGTAAAAAATCGCATTAAAACTTTGTTTTCTGGCTTTGCTTGCAATCAAGACAGCGACCGCTTAGTAAATTATTCAATTTATTCAGCAATTCGGAATTTTCCAATTCATATATGTTGCTGTGGCTTTTTAATCACGTTAATAGACAAATAATATCTCACCAATTTAATTAATTTAACTGACAAAAGTGAATTTAAATTCGGTCTGATATTTAGCCTAAATAGCGAATGGATTAGATTTATAATCGGCCAAAGTGAAATAACGAAAATGATAATCCTCTCAACTGAGACTAAGCGGGGTAGTTTTGCCGGTAGGAAAACCAAAAAAAATTGTGAGCTTTAAAGTGTAATTTTTAACTGATAATTCCCTTTACGTTTTAATCGTTTATACCAGGTCGTCCTGTTAAATTAGCGAGCCACAAGTGCAGAAGTGAAGGTCAGTTTACTGTACTAGATTACTATTTGAAACAGTTTTGTCACGCCTGTTGATTTTTCCTACAATTATATGCCATTCCATAATTAGAAATAAGTCCTGCAAAGTGCACACATTATATGCTTCGGATATTCTAATGCTATTATTTAATCTGGAGGGTTCCAAGACCCGAAACCAGCCAACTGCAAAATCCTGTTATTACTCGCACTGACAGAAACCAATATATGTTGAGGGATTAACATTTTCCACCGAATAACTGGAGAAATCGTTGAACCTTCTCAGTTAAGCTCCTGACGGAAGGGTATATTAACAACCCCGTTGAAACCGTTTAAAAAAATTGCAATTTTCAACATTTACCTAATTACTATGCTGGATTTAAACTGGAATTGAAAAGAACTGAATTGATTTTCCTTGCATCGTGACAGTGCTTAGTGCCTGTGGTCAGTGATTTATTGATTCCACACTGAACTCCCAGTAATTAAATACATTTTGATCAGTTCGCAAGATATTAATTACTGAAAAGTTGAGGTACGTACCCAGATTCGCGTAGTACATGGGTACTACCATGGCACCATTCTCCTCGCTCATGGGGGTAACAGCATTAGAATCATCAGCATAAGGCAAATGTTCCTGTGCATCAAGATAAGTAGAAAGAACCAATGGTTTACGATCACCAGGTGGTGCCACCATTCGCCTGCTGTTTCGCGAAGTAAATTGGTGGGAACCTCTCGATCCTCGGCGAAGATTGAACGGAGATCCAGGGAGACTCAGACTTGCCTGAACACGGGACATGGTCTATACATGCGTGAGGCTTTAGGTTTTAATAGGTCTATATTTTTTTATTAATATTAAAAAATAATGTTTTCCTTAAGGCAAAATGGTTTATTTGATCATATTAAGAACATTGAGCTTCTTATGAAAAAAATATTGATCGATTGCTCGAGGTTGAAAACCTCCTTAGAGCTGACTGTTTATCTATATTGATGAGAACAAGATAATCAATCAGTGAGGACGTATATAAAAGTTGAAGCTTTCAAAAGGTTTGAGGGATGGATGCAATTTGATAAGGACTAAGAAAATTTGCGATATATTCGTAATATGATCTTCAAAAGCTTCATGAATTAAAAATATTCTGATCCATGTCACGTGTTTTTGTTTGAACTAAAGGATGGAGGATAAGGATCGAACACAAGATGAATGCTATTCACTAAGTGGCATATGAGGATGCAAATGAAGAGACTTAAAAGAGTTTGCGATAACTAATGTAAAGTGCAATGCGTTTGTTAAATTCCAACCGCTGCAATGGCTGGTGTTTATCAAACGGAGTCTGGACACTATAATTGTCATGATTTTTATTTACTCTTGTTGCTTTTTAGAATTTTTATCAACAGCGATATGCCAAAAGAGACTAGTCATTATCCTGCAAATGGTAATTTTTGGTATATTTCGAGGATCTCACTAGATCCGATGCGTACGAAGGCTTATTGATATTTCCATAATATGCAGGATAATAGGAACTGTATCATATGCCGCCGCTAAGAAGTAATTTGGTAGAACTTGGAAATGTAGTATCAATCATGGGGCTCAAAATAACAATCAGGACACTTACAGCGCTGACTTTCCGCTTCTTGATGGGATTAGTGGGTACTCTTCTCTGCTCACTCACAGAATCTAATCCGTCCGATCTGATGCTCATCTTCTCCTTATTGTTGTCATCTTGTCCCTTTGGTTGATTAACGAAAAGCTCATAACTATGGCAGGAGAAATCTGACGGAGATTTGACGATATCCGTGCTTCCAGCCGGTGCGCCTCCCGCTGCTACTCTTGCAGCTTCTTCAGCTGCGGCCGCTCTAGCATCTGCCCGATTTTGCTTAGCTAATGCCGCTTTCACAGCCTCCTAAAATGATCGTTCATTCCCTTCCGTTATTTTACGCAGCCCAACAATCCACTTACTCTTATTGCTTCTTCTTCAGCAGCTTCTTCCTCTTCAGCTTTCTTTTGCAATTCATCATACGACATGGCTACTATGGCTAAGATCAAGTTCACTAAATAAAACGATCCCAAAAATATAATTACAATAAAAAATAGCATGTGCCAGGGACCAGCCGATCTTAGGACCTAAAAGAAACCATTACTCGGTAAAGAATTTTTTGCCGGCGTAGAAGCCTACCAGTTGGTATAAATTTTCCCAATAATCCTGAGTCATTAATCTAAAGGCAGAGAGGAAGGCCCATCCGAATGTATCAAAACTAGTGTATCCGTAATTTGGATTGTCGCCGTAACCTTGCAGACAAGTGTAACCTGGCTTGCATTGACCAGCTCCTGAGGAATTACCACATAGTGGTATTTCACCTTTATCTTCATCGAAATACCAATTGGCTGAAATCGAATTTGGAATTTTTCATAGTTATTGCAATTCAACCCTGTAGGGTACTGACTGAGAAAGTTCCCGCATAGACGGAGATGCTAATTTTCTTAGTTTCCATGTAGAAAAAACAATAAATAAAAAATAAAAATATGAGCAGCTGAACATTTTTTCCATAAGACCTCGATGAGTTGAAGTAGAGTAAACTCTAATTGGTTAATTTACAGATAAATTTTTGCATTTATCCTCTCGTCATTGCGTCCAATTTTAATGAGCCCATAAAACATTATTGTAAGCAGTGAAGTTTATTTAATGGCCATAAAGGAAAATATGAAGGACATTTCGAGTATTTATCTATTTTTGAATTGCTATTCAATCGCTTCAGGTTGCATTCGTGTAGTTGGATTCCAGTCGACTATTTTGAGACAAATTAGGCAAATTTATTCAAGTGTTTTTCCTTTTGAGAAAACGGGGGAGTGCCTAAGTATTGCCGCATCACGAACAAGAGTTTGTTGCTTAAAATCGATGGATTTCGTAGCATTTAACTTAATTGTGAAACTGTGTGGAAACATTTTCGAATTAAATAACGCATTACAGAACTTTCTCAATTAGTAGCCTCATTTATGGGTGTACGCATGATAATTTGGTAAAATGCTTACATTTATTTTGGTTGAATTGCTCCCAATTTTCGTCTGTAAGGTTACCCCAAGAACCATCACTAGGAAAGTTTTTTATGCATTTTTGTGTTAAAACACCCATGTAAATTTGTAAACCCATAAGAGCGAAAACCGAAAGAGAAAACATTGTTAAAATTATCACATCTCGTAGATTTTTTACAGATTCTATTACGGCACCTACAATGGTCTTCAAACCTGAAATGTTGCATCATACCATTGTTAGTATTAGATGGTCCGATTAGTGGCAAGTTACTTACCGGGCACAATGGCAACAGTTTTTAGGGCTCGAAGTACCCTAAATGTTCGTAAGGCAGCTAGATTCCCCAGGTCTATACCCATAGTAACATAACTGAAATTTGAAACCAATTTTAGAGGAGTTTGCTCATTTTGTAGTATGACATTAGCTTCTAAAAAGTTGCTAAAAGCTATACGTTTATTTCAAATTCTATAGCTATGACTGCGTATTATAGGAAATCTCGTGTATGCAAACATTCAACATAAACAAGAGTTCCTCTATAAAATATAAAATTAAATTCTATGTTAATAGAGAGAATATGGCTAAAATAGTAGGTGGAAAACTATTTAATATTCTAAAATATTGGTATCTCTATGTAGGTTCTAAACTATAATTTACGTAATATGATATCTATTTTTAAAATCATCTCTGGCTAGTCTCAAGATACTTTCAGAAACTACAATGTTATTATTAAGATCTACATTAATTACACAAATATATCAAATTTCCATTAATCACTCACATATTTTTGATTTTGCCAAAAATAAATAAAAGCTGTGGAAATGAAGAAAGACCATTATTTTTGGGAGATTAAATTGAAATCCTGCTGAACCGAGTGTTTGAAAGTAAACTTCACTATAATTGAAAATCTGCCGGAATCCCAGATTGTGAGGGTAGTTTTGATTTGGGTCACTTAAAGCAACCTGTATATTGAATTTTGGTCTTAAGTCGATTGCGAGCATATTAGTTAGTTAATTTTTTAGGATACCCTGTAAATGAAACATATAGGTCAAAAAATTCAAAAGCTTTAAGATGTATATATACGCCTTTAGTGCTGAAAAATGTTGTTTAAAAAAAAACCTTGTTTTATTCAACTGGGAGCATGGAGAAGTTTTAGAATCTTTGTATTTTTTCATTGGCCACTTTACGGAAACTTCATCTAAAGTACTCAATTTCCGTAAAAACTTGCGCTGACAGAAAAAGTTTCGATCTAGAACAAACACAAGTTCTCCATTTCCGAAGTTAGAGCAAATCTGGCCGTATAACGTTTATTTTGTTGGGCAGTTTAATTTCGATGAAACATCAGCATTGGTACTGGATGTTTGATTGTAACGTAGCTCGTCAAATCCTCTCCTTTTAGCACATTTTCATATGGAGAAAAAACCGATGTAAAATTGGGGCCCCTTAGGTACGAAGCGTTGTATTCCAGGAGGCTTCCGCATTTATTTATACCACAGCCAACGCCACTTGGTTTGGAGTAACGTGTCATAAGTTAAATCATTTTTCAAATCCTGGTGGCTCAGGAATAGTTTATTCCACCATAGTTGATGGAACAAATGAACATTATAAAATAGTTTCATTTGAAAGTGCATGTTCTAAACTATGGACTCTACCTGGAGTTCTAGCTAATCTACTCACGCTAAAGCTATGACTACGAAGTCGAGCCAGTTCCATGCATCTCTAAGGTAGGTGAACGGTTGAAGAATAAAACCTCTCGCCATCACCTTCACAGCTGATTCGAAGGTATAGATGCCAGTGAATATCACTCTGAAAATGACAAACACTTCTTTCTACTCTACACACCACATCGAAAAGTTAAGCAGCGTCTAAGTGATTTGAAAATTCAAACAGGAGGAAACAACTTATGTCAATAAACAGACCTTCTCAAAAATATGCACATTTGCACAGAAGTTGTAAAAAGCTGCTTCCTGCCTATTGATTATATTTCTCTAAAACTATCAGCGGCTAGATTATATTATATAGGGTTTGAGTACTTACTCAGTTGATTCTACGGTGGGAGTAGTTGGCATGATCATTAGGATGCAATTGACTAGAATGGTAGTAATGATAAAAAGTGAAAACAAGGGATGTACTAAAATATAAATGGCCACACGACGGATTGGGTTAAAAGGATCTAGTATCCAGAGGGCATTTGTTGCGCTAAATCGAAAAATGTCCTTTCCTTTGCTAACTACTACAAAAGTCTGAAACAAAGAGAAATTACCGTTAGAGGCGAATAAAATTAACTTGCTCATAATTTTACAAATTTTATTAGTAAAACGAAATATTTTTGGTATGACGGGGCAAGCTCTTGCGAGCTAATATTTCTTCGTGTTAACAAACACTCTCCAAAACTAACCAATTGGCGAAGCTCATAAAAGTTCATACACATTGTTTACTGAGATAATAATCAATGAACTGATCTCGACAAGTCTCGACGTTGTTCTGAGTTGAATAACCGACTTCTGAATCATTTGAAACCAAGCAAAATAACTATTCTGCCTTCTAAATGAGCCAACGGGTTATTTGTGGATAATATATGTTGAGCTGCTGGAAAATTGCCGGGGATAATACCGTAAAAGTATAATGAGGATTGTTTCAAATGTATTTGTTGTTCATTGAATAAAAACAAAAGCCTCTGATAAAAATATTGAGTATATTTTCCGTCTGAACTGGAACTGATTTGGCTGTTCTCCCTAAAGGTTGGCAGATGTTGAAAGGGATATCCCTGAATTGCCCAATCTTGGAAGCGCGCTATTGTTCATCCATTTCCCAATAATGCCTATTGTTCGGAATCAGGGGATATCAATTCTGGACTCTATACGTGGATTTATTTAGTCGGCTCCAAAGTCGGCAATTAGTACGAGGGTAAATATGAAATCGGCTCTGTCTTGATTCTCGTCAGCAAAGAGATAAGGAGCTGACTTATGGTAAATAGAATAGCAAGGCGTAAGGGTAACGGATGTGCGAACAGGAAGCTATGTGATCAGCTCTGGATCAGCCGGCTAATCCTGGACCTAACCGGTTACAGCAGATCGATACCGGAAAATGTCGAGCTTTCCGTTTTATTCTGCGGAATCTAATTTAGTATGATCAAATATGAGAAATTTTCAAAAAAGAGCACAACTTTACAGTTTTGTTTCCTTCCTTATAGCTGCTCGATTGGCCACCTACTTACTACTTACTGCAAAACTTATTTTTTCGCCCTCAAAACTGATTATTTTAGTGGCCAAAATATAATTTTCAATATATCGGTGTTAGTTGGATAGACTATATTTGTACAACACCCTAAGTAAATAGAGCAGCAATCAGTTCATTGGTTCAGGTTTGCAATGGGGAGCAAAAGGGACAAGTTGATCCTTAATGTTTCCATTTGGCCGCCCTATTGAATTGTACAATTATTAATTTAATGAATTTACATTGTCCTCCGATTGCCACTTTGAGGCGCATTATATATAGCGATTTTGAAAGTTTCGATGACAATTAATATAAATATGCTCAAATCATAGTTGCACGCCATCGCTTGAGGATTTATCTATTTTTGAACATTGAATAGCCTTCATTTTTTCGTCCAATTGTTCAGGACAGAATACAAACACGCTCGAATTAACATTAATGAAGATTCACTAATAACTCGGCAAAATATTTCATTAAATCGTAATTTGGCGACGAATGTGAACATCGTTGAATTCCAAAGGGTGAAGTCTGAAGAATCGCGTACTTATTATGTTTCATGGAACTGGAAAAGCCGCAGAAATTGCTGCCTCAATTTGACAGAAAATCCAACACTGTTTGCGTACAGTTTAGAGTTTGCGACTCGATTTGAATTAAAAATATTTAGGCAAAGTTGATTAACCAACTTCTCGATGAAGTTTAAACTCTCATAAAAATGTATGAGTTATTCATGAAAAGTTATCCCACCATTGTTTCGGCAGAGTCTTGTCTCGTGGAATCGCTAATCAGCAAAGTTGTTTATTTGCAGTAATTACATGCTTGACTGTAATAGCATGGAAAGGGATCATTCATTCTGAATGAGGCTCGTCGGTAAATGTCTTCGTAATACATCAATTTTCATTAAGTCCATCGATTTTATCAGAGGTCATTTATTTCTGGTATCTTTTATTTGTAGGCGATTTTTCAATCGATTGATACTCCAAATGTACGCTTAATGAAGACATATAGCATTGGTTTTGGGAGGAATTGCTACGTTTTTTCTTACCATTTGGTTGCTATAAAAGGGATCGATGTCCTCGAGTGGTGTGCTGGCAAGTTCTGGGGGGAAGCTACCCTGGAGCCGCACTGGAATGGGCAATCCTTGCTCCAATGTCTGGTCCGGTTGGGGGCCTTCATCTTCGTCCTCGTCTTCATACCGAATCTGTCACATTTCAAATTTTAGTTACAATATCTCTGCTTTTTTAACGGCAAATCTTGCGACTGTCTCTGCTCAAATCTTCCCCAAAGTGCGAAGATAAACAGTAAAAACCTTTAGCGTATCAAAATTTGTACCTTTAGAACCTTGAGGAACTTGAAAAATATTAACAATCAGTGCTTCACGTTAATAAAAGCTGTTTTAACCTCAGGTTTAAAATCATTTTCTTGAGAAATTGCTTTTATTAAGCGTTTTCGATTTTGTACCACCACTCAGCTACAAAATCAAAGTCCTTCAGAATTCAATATTAAACAACAAATTTGCAATTGCATGAAGTATTTAGCAGATTTCGGCAATTTACAGCTTTGGTTTTAACTAGTAAATTAACCACAAACTACGCAACTTCCTATGCAATACAAATGTTCCATATCCTGTTTAGAAGTACACAATAATCAGACTAGGCATTTTGCGTTCAACAATATTCCATTAATCCTTTTGCAGCTAGAATTTGAATATTTTTCCATATTTTCATGCAAATATTCGTCAAAGAAATTCAATTTAGTTCCTAGGCTTTGAGAAGAATGCATTTCCTTTGCGTTTGACGTAAAATGAGGCAATTTTCAAGTGAACAATTTTTTAATAATTTTGTAAGCTTGTATTTGTCGATTTTACTTTCTATTTGCCATCTCGCGATACTGCCAGCTGCTTTTTATTTAAAAACGTCGCTGATATCAAAGGGATTTACGTGTAAACAGAGCGTGAGCGTTTAGAGGCTTCGTCTTCAACGACTTTACAATTATGCGAAAATGTTATTAATCACGTTTCATTTCAATGGAGCATCGAAATTACGAAAGGCCTTTTTAAAAGCCGTATTTAAATAATTCAAATTGTATCGCTCTTTTTATCTATCGCATTGTACAAATTCTGATACTCTAGTATATTTTCAGTCCTTTTACAATACGTTTTTAGTAAACTGAATTTTTCTAAACTTTTCTTGTAAAAGAACTAAGTATTATAGAAACAGTATGAAAAACACATTGTCACCTGTTGAAAACAAATTCGTGTAATTGCGTTTGTGTACTTTGTGCCAGTGTTCATCTGAAAATTGACTTCTTTGAAGGCAATATGAGTGGTAAGTTTTAGCTCCAAATTCATTAATAATAAGCAACTTAAATTTGATTTTGACCCTTCTCTTGAACGTTCGTATAGAAGGCGTGGAAGTACAATTATTTTCAGTTTACAGCAATTTCCATATCGATTTTCCCCAAATGCGAAATGTAACGCATATTCCCTTGCCGATACTTCATCAATTATTATTTGGGGTTGATTTGCATAAAGGATCTAGAATTGCGAACAATTTAGAAAGGATTTGCTGTTGATTGTATTTAAATAAGTCTCATAGCTGAGAGCGGCAACATTACTTACGAAGTATTAAATCTCAGCCTCAAGTTTACTGTCTTATCTTAGGGCACACCACACCTTCATCATCATATGAGGATTATGGCATTAGAAGCCAAAATATTACTTTTATTCCCCAGTAATTAGAAAACTTTATTTTTCATTCTTGATCTGTTGGAATTTCTTCACCACAACATTTTGGAAGAACCGTAATAGTAATTTTGCAGAATAGAACTTGGAAATTTGCCACTCATACAGCCTTCGACTAGTAGTTTGATACCACTAAACGCTTATTTGCGACTGATAAATAGTATGAATTTCAGCAATTTGTTTAAATTCACCATAAACTAAACTGTGTTAAAATACGCTAGTTCCTAAAAGTTCTACCATTCAAGATGTTTTAGGCATGCATATAACAACTGTTTCTTTCGATTTGCTCACATTGGCTGAAGAGGAAATATATGTAATCCGTAATTTGCTGTTAACATGTGGATTTTTAACTTGTGCTTTCCAGTGGAAGTGAGTGAGTTGAAAAACTTGTACTAAAATGTGGCTATCTACCCAAATGTCAGTCTTATCTAAATATAAAGCATCCCTTAAAACCTTCTAAGATTCTAACATACAAAACATGAATCAGTTAACATTCTAAGAAAACTCTAGAGCCTCTACATTGCTTTAAAATATCAATAATAATAAAACTTCAGTAAAAAGTGTCAAAAGTGAAACTGTTCAATGTGAAAACGTAGCTGTGTAACAGACAGCTATTTTTTTGTTATAAAACAACATTTTATGTTTGAGACTATTTCTAGATGCCTTTGGTGTCACATATTGTGTCAAGCTGGTTCAAAATGCACTATAGTGGCCTTAAGCAGCATAAAGTAAAAATAAAGCTAGTCATTTTCAATGCAGCTGACGATAACATGCCGAGTTAGAGACTTTAAGGATATATTAGAAAAACCAAAAATTCCAGTTGCTTGTTTCAACTTCCGCAGTTTCCATTGAAAGTTCAAGAAGTCGTTTGAATAGTTTAAAGCCAGTTTGCTTATTCAAGTTAGCAAGGTAAGCGTTTAGCTCAGTAAAAATATCCTTAAGTTCCCTGCAGCAGGTTTTTTTGAAAAATACCACTTTGGAGATTTTTTTATGTTTCAATCGTCAGACGCATGTCTTCTATAAACAGCTAAAAAGCAACTTTCTGTGAACATTTTTTACTGGAAAAATCTTACTTCTTTTTTCTTTTTCCTGCGTCCAAAACCGGGCTGCAATGAAGGTTATATCTTTAACATTTAAATGAAAAAGCCACATTGCTGAAAATTCTCTACCTACTCACATCAGTTGATTGTTTCTCAATCAAATACATTTTCCCTAACATTAGTTTTATTCTCCAGGCACTAGATCTAAATGATTTTTATGTGCAGATGAAATTGAGATATGTTTTTTGAATTGATGTGATACGTTTGAAACTTTATGTTTGATATGAAATGTGGGACCAATCGCTGTTTATGAAGATGGGGAATTAATGCCAATGCGAGGTTTGCCTAAATAAATCAAAGCGTTTGACGAAGAAACATTTTGGCTCAAAAAATACCCAACAACCACTGCAAATAAGAAACTTTACGAGATATAGCAAAACCGTTGCTTAATGAACATTCCTAATTTAATTTTAATTTTTAGGGATGGGGCAATTTTTTCCCACGATATAACTGTTAAATGTTTGTCTTCGATGTATTTTTTGAGCTCTTTTATTTCCTACGCCGACTTTTTACAGTAAAAAGGACGCTGACCGCCAATAACAGGGTGTAGCCTTATGTTTTCTGTAAATATAGGTCTGAGGGTGTATTTTTCTCTTTACAAGTATAACACATATAAAAGGCATATAATCATGTTCATGCAGGAGTTTCCAAGCATTTTATAACATCTAGATTTCGACAAGAATAGAAGTTGATAAGGGCTTTAGTGTGTTTATATAAATTTTACAAGCTAGCTAGTTGAACGTTGTACAGCTAATTGAGATTGTATCTTTATTGGGGCAATCTGAGGGGCAGTTTTTTGTAAAACGTTTCACATAGGAATAACGATAATTACCATTAATACTAACTTATAACTTCTGTATAGTTTTCAACCATGTCTATTCCTTCGAATTGCTAAAGCTAAATTAACATTAACTTTTCGTGGATATTTCATTCAAAATTCCGGACCACGCTGAATAAAAATACAATTTCAATTGTTCGAAGTTTGAAACATTCCATGTTCGTTCTGAATCTTCCTCCTCTGGTCGTATTTTCGGTTTGAAATAATAAGGGAAATGATTTTGCGGAGAATATAAAAGCATTTTCATAAGTTTTTAATTAGTTTTCAAGATATTAGGCGGAGAATTCGCATCAACTTACCCGACAAAACGGAACTTTCCACAAAGCGTTCAACTTTATTTGTTTTTATATCATTATTATTAAATATTAAAGATGAGTTTTAAGCCGTTTTGCTTCGGCGATATTCACAGTCAGGCTGAATCTACGTAGGAGAAGTAGAGCAAAAGGGAATCAAATATGAACGATGAAAATGTATATTTGCAAAACAAGACATCGATAATGAAGCTGAAGGAGGAAGAAAGGAGTGAAGTGAAAGTTGAAATGTACATTCATCAATAATTAAAAACCGCTTCAAAGCCTTCTTTAGATGAAATCACAGTGTTTTTTAATCGGGCGTCAATAAGTTGAGTACATCAGCACTTTTCAGTGACTGGCATGATATCTTTGAAACGGTTTTGGGCGTAAATAGCTTTAGACCACGTACTTCTCCCTCAGCTCTCTTCTTTTCGAGCTCTTTCTGTTTGGCATGCTCTTCGGCAATTCGAGCTTCGATGGCGGCCAATGACTCACGTGTGAATGGACGGAATAGGCTGCGCTCCTCCTCAGAGAACGAGTCAGAGACGACGGACATGTCTCCTCGCTCCTAGGCCCCCACGATACCCTGGAACAAGAGGAGAAGTGATGCAAAACTTTGCAATCGATAAGCGAAATGTTTGAGACTTGCTCTAGTTAGCTACTCCAACATAATGAGATTTCGACAAATTAATATCCGTCGCAATTGGCTTTGACATAGCATTAGAGCTAATACTGCTGATAAAATCGTCAATTGCGATTCTCTAATGGCAATTAATTTGCAGGAGAGAAAATCTGCATTAATGATATTTGCTAGGATCAATAGGAGCGTTTTTAGGTTGATACTTGTGGGTGTTGGGCCTCGCTCGGGCTACTTCTACAGTTGTACCTTGCCTGTTGTAGATCTCCACTTAGCTAAGCAGGAATTTAAATTTGTCAATTCTGTTAAAGTTGGGAACAGAAAATTACATCAACTAGCTACATCAACTGATGGAACCCCCGTTAATTCATTTGCAAACTCGGTACGTCTCGTTCTAATGAAATTTCTTACAATACTATTCCAGGTAGTAATAAATGCGATAATTGCATGCCGCGAAGTAATTTGTAGCGGGGCGCCGTGGGCTTGATGGGAAAAAGATAAAAGTTTTGTAGTGGTTTTTGGTATTAAATCATTGTACATACTGATGACACTGCAGCAAACTTTATTCTAAGAAACGGGGTTTATTGGAGATTTACTGCTAATTCGGGGAAGCTAGAACCGCATTGTAGGTAAACGCTTTGAAATTTAAACCGCTCAACCATTTCATATTGATTGAGGTCTACCGCCTTGTAATGTAGTGAAAGCTCTAGTCGCTTTTACTTCTCATTAATTTAAAAGCTCACAGTTTTGAACTTCATCTGATACACCCCAAAGCCTTTAAAGCACTCATGTACATTTCCATGAAACTGACATCATTTAAAATAACGAAAGACTGTGCCTTATCTTCCATCTGTTTACTGCGTTAATTCAAGAAAATTCGCCATAAAATCGTTGAAAATTAATGTCAAATCCCTTATCTGACAAACTGACATAGAAAGAATGGTCCCCGCTGAACTTGAATGAAATTAATTTAATCATTTATTTGCGGAATTTGCAAAATCAGGGCCGTTTTTCCAATAGTGACTACATCGAGGGTACTTTTCCTTTCAAATTCAAGTGTAATGCTGAAACTCAGTTATAACGTTTGTGACGCTTAGCAGGGGATTAAACCATTATACCAGCTGAAATAATTGCATTTCTGTCGAAGTTAGTTTGTGCAGTTTCGTAAAATTTAACCTGTACACTAGCAACTAGAGTACAGGGTGATTTCTTAAAAATGGGCAAGACGGAAACTGCAGATTGAAATGGTGGCCATTGGCGCAAGGATGACTTATCCGAAAGATGATATTTTCGAACATACAGGGCGCCAAAAGTCGTAATTTTAATTCTTTTTATTATTATATTATTATTTATTATTATTATTATAGATGCACGAGATGCATGTTTGCACAAGACATTTACACCTACAAGGCAAACTACATCCATTTCGTTTTACTTCTATACAGAAATTGAAATCGCTCTTGCTCCTTTACGTTTTGCCCATTTTCTACAGAAACAAGAAACCATCGATAGTACTTTTTTAGACAAAAGTTTGTGTTTCGATGAGGCGCCGTTTACTCGCCGTGGAGTCTTTAACTGGTGAAATAATCATCCGTGGGACTTTGAGAATCCCCCTGCTGTGAAAGCTGAACACTTGCAACAAGAATTTACAATCAATGTTCAGTGTGATATTATTGGCAATTTATTTGTTGGATTATTTGGACTTCCTCCCAAATTAAAAAGCCAATTGTATTTACAATTTCTTCAACTAAACTTCGCCTAGTTGCTTGAGGATGATCTGCTTCATTAAAAAATTCAGTTTTATGCAAGATGGAGATCCAGCATATTTTTCTCGACTTGTCCCTACTTAAGTAGATTCAACTTTTGCAAATTGTTGGATTGACCGTGGAAGCGTTATTGCTTGGCCACCCAGAAGTCCGGACTTCAATCCTCTTGATTTTTCAATTTGGTCTCAAATGAAAGACAGAGTTTGCAAAGATCCGAACACATCTAGTATCTCCAGTTAAGTTAAGTGCAACCTGACAGTCTGGGATTGATTGTACGCCCATGTAACGCACTTATGAATATTTAGCAGAGTACGAATGAAGCGAATTGCCAATAATCATGATAGCAAATAGTTTGGATCCCGTTTATAATAGAAAATTAATTCCAGAAGCATGTCTACTTCACATTATTAATAGTTGACGGCACATGGATATTTCCTGGGTAATTCAGCTATTACATATTCAACAGATATGCATAATTTAGAAGCCAATTTTTAATCGATGATTTCGCTTTTAATAAGCTAATTATGAAAGCGTCAAAATAGCTGTGGATTAAATTAGGTCTTCAGGATCAGTTCAATTAATTTTCTCTTTCAAGGAGCTTCTATATCGAACGTATGAAAATGTGCATATTTTTGTTGATATTTAAGAGTTTCGCCAACTTATTAGTGCACTCTTTTCTCTCCTCTTTATTTAGTGCCGGTTCACCCGTTTATCAAGCAATTGCCTACTCTGGTTTCTGCAAAGTTTTGCATATGTCGACGTTACTTAAGTTAATTCATATTATCGAACACTGCACTTAGAAAATTGCATATCCGGGAAGAGTCGAGGAAAACTCCTCCGTTGTCCTAAATAGGACGCACTTAGAACTATAGTTTTTTTCTGGACTCTGAACAATTACATAGTACGTGTAAGTTTCTGGAAAGTAGCACAAATGGCCAAACAGATAAAACAGTGAACCCCTTGCGATAAATGCACGAAAGCATCAAGCTAAGGAAAGCTTGTAAATATTTAAATTTGATTTGTTTCTCATTCACTATGGAGTGGAGCTGTAAAATGTCATTGTGAGTCGCTTTACTGGCTGGATAGATTCTCCAGGATTTCGTTACGGGAGTAGAAGTATCAGATTTTCTTTGAACTTTGAAAGAGTTATTCTAGCAACTAAAGCAAATTTAAAACAATATTCCTAATGTAGATTTCTCAAGCTGGAAAATGCTGGACTATAAATCTCCGACAATCGATTCCTGAAAATGCATCATGTCCCCATAAAACATGAGGTACTTAAAATAAATTGCACCCCTTTTGCTATAGATAAAACGGCCTTCTGAAAGTATTGCCACTAAGATATCCGAATATATATTTGAATATGTAGGACGTTCTTTACCCTGTTGGTATTTCTGGAAATGGGATTGCCTTATAAAATATGGGAAGTGTGTATCTGGATCAAAGGGGGAGCTTGTATGGCGACGAATTCCGGTAATTTATCGACAATTTAAATTTATATTTTCTACGATAGGTGTACACAGCTCTAATTGTTTTCTCATCTTTTAATGAGCGGTAGATTTTTCAAATAGCAAATAGTTTAGACTCAGGGCCATGAAGTAGGGGTAGTGGCTAGAATATTTCCTAAGCCTTTTGACTGACAATTCAATACTTTTCCAAATAGATTGCGCATCAATTCCCAATTCCCTCAGCTACCTACCGATCCTACCAGGGGATCTGCTAATGTAAAATCTAGGTACAATACAACTATAAAATATCGGAAGCTTTTAGCTTACAATCGAGTGCATTTCAAGCCTCCTCTACCAGAATATACAGATTTCGTTCGCTTCTGTTCGCATTGTGCTCGCAGACTTGGATTTTAATATAAGACCTAAGAGCATGAGTTATTGAGTATATGATTTACTTTTCATAAATATTGTTTTTGGTGGTAAAGCAAGTTACAAAATTCCCAAATTTAAAAGCTCTAACCAGAAATGAAGCACTAAAATTTTGCCAGCGCAGACAACGGCATGGGATCGATCAAACTTTGTGGTAAAATATTAAAAGTTTGCTCTCTTGATATTAGATGTGACTCGCATGATTTTAGATTAAAACGTTTGGAAAAAGAGCTGCTGTCCAATTCCTGCTAAGGTCTTGATTAATACAGCAGCTTTGGTTTATGCTTCCGTTTTACGTCCTGTGCTTTTGACGCGAATTGCCCTTTTATTTCAGGCCGAATCTGCGGGGACTTCAAACAATACCGAACTGTGACCTAAATTCAAATCTGAACCCAGAAGCCCCACGTGTAATGAACACAGTTATATCAAGCTGTGATGAAATAGCTTAACGTGAATGTAGCCTGAGAAGATGTAAACTAATTTACGTTTCCACGCTTAGAAGAAATCGGGAATAAAATGCCTAAGTGAGTTGATATTTTAAAGCTATTTATGCCACTTCAATGCCTTAACGATTTAATGTACGAAACTTAGTTGGAAGTTTAAATTGCTTTCGTATGTTTCCACTTCCTGTCTCGTATTAGTTGCCTAAACTTGCTGTGCTTATAGTCAGTTAGGCAGTCTCCAATTTTTGTGAAGTGAAGTTTCATTAAAACTTATAACAATAAATTTAAAAGCAGATACCAGATGTTTCCTGGAACTGTATTGAATAATCAGCTTATTCAGAAATGAACATATTTACTGTGAACAATTTAGTGTGCCGTTGTCAGCTCCATGGGGGATATTTGAAGTGCAGACAATTTAATTTCCTGTATCATTTCAAGTATTTGGAATCAGCTTGTGATAGAGAGAAATGACGAAGTTTCTTTGTTGTTTGACTTGGATACCACCGGTATTTTACATGGAACATTTAATGTTTAGTTGGAACAGTTGCGAACGTATTGATTTTGGTAGAAATTGACAACGCCGTTTATATGTAGGTAAGTTAAAGGTAAAAACGATTTACCGTGTTATTTGCCCTGATCTAATTTTTCATGCTAACGCCTTTATGTCGAAAAGCTGCAAACGGGGGAGGTTCCGATGATCCAACATCATTACAGACTGCCAATCATAATTTGCCGTTGTTACAAGTATAAAATACTTTTATACTGAATCGTCAAATTTAAAGCTAATTCGGACGGCCTTTTTAAATATTTAATTACAGGAGTTTGTTGGGGGATTCTGTTATTTTTTATTCGCACACCGTCGGCATTTTCGAGAGTAATTCGAGGGCAATTCTGATAAAATTTGATTGAATTTTTCCTGTTACACGAGCAACTGTTGTATTTGTTTATTTTTAGTTGACTCGTCAATCAGTATTATACATGAGCTCATTATGAAACCTGATATCGTGTAAGGTGCAAAGGAGATTATTAATAAATATGAAACGTCTAAAAGAAGGTTATTATTATTTCAGTGTTCCTCGCGCCATGTGGTGGCGACTCGATCTCAAATTATTTAATAAGAATAACTCCATACGGCATACACGAGAGTCAATATATTGATTTCAAGGCTTTAAATGCAAAATGGCTTAATACCGTCTTGACCTCCTTTTCCTTAGATCGCAGAGTGTACAGCAACGACCCTGTTTAAATTTGACTGAGAAGAGGTACCTACTAAAGGACCCTTTCAAGCTTAATTTTTTCAACCCGCTTAGAAAACACGCCAGTGGGAAAATTTAATGTTCCCTTCTGTTTTTGGGTTACAAATCCTACTTAACTTTGAGAAACTTTCGGATCAATGAAGACAATTTATCAATATCGTACCTATATCTAAGACCATTTATTCTGCTTCCACTGCTTGATTTTTTCATTAGCGACCTAAATATGCAACGCTGTTCATTATGTAATGTAGATTTCGGATAATAGAGAATGATTCGGCAAATGAGAATAGGCCAAGGACTAATACTGGAATTATGATGACAAAATTGCCAAATCTAGGCCATGAAATGGCCTTGCGTGAAATGGAAGATGGCGAAAATATTAATCAGTCCCAAACTGGAAATGTGAGGGAATCTAGGATAAATAAGACATGATATTAGGTGTGATGTGGATTTTAATTCATTGTTTGATAGCCAATTAAGCCATTAGTCGGCCTTTACTGAATTAGCCCAGCGTGAAACACCAACTAGTAAACAACATTTGGCGATAACATTTGAAATTCAGTTTCACGTTATTGTAAGTTACCAAGTAGTTTTTCGGTCAGGAATTTAGCCACGTCCAGTTAAATCAACGTGTCTTGGTTCGGACTTTTTCGGACATATTTATTAAGCGGACTCCTCGAGTGAAACAGCGATAATTTCGTCGAGTTTCTGTAACTTTTGATTGCTTTTCCTATTTGCTGCAGTTGATTTCATATGACTGGCACTAATTACATCGTGCCGATCGATCAGACCGTATTTCTATTGTTAACTAAGTCATTGAAATCGAGAGTTCGGTCAATATGCCGGCTACTCCAACAATTCGATAATAGCAAAGTCAAGCATACCTTCAGGAAACTATCGATACCTTTGATTTAACTATCCTATACGAAACATAGTTTATTTATTATAAAGAGTGATTCAAAATTGTCGGCATTCCTCTGGAGCTGCTGGCTGGGGGTGCATTAGGAGTATAGAAAAAATTGTAAAAAAATTAGTTGTTAATAAAAACTATGGGCGGCAATGGCTTCAATATTTTTCTAGTACTTTCCAAGTAATCCCCTATTACCCCTTAGATAGAAGGAATAACGCCAATTTTGAATCACCCTTGTATATGCCAAAAAACTTGTATCAAGCAATGAATAGGTTGCGAAATTAAGTTCACTTTTTGTTTGCGGGTTTAATATTTAATGTCCTCTTCTGCACTTATACTTCGGTCTAATGTGAGCTGTGACTCATGAGAATAAATCCTGCATCGGCAGGGTGTTAATTAATTAACACAGAAATTCTTAAACAAGCGAACGCAGAAAAAACTATAAACAGGCAAACATATTTAAATACCAGGATGAATTTACATGAGTAAATAAAGAGAATGCTTAAAAACAAGCAGTAGAATCACAAATACAACAAATTGATTTATGCCTACGGAAGTTCGCATGTAATTTTATTGTTTCAGTTCCTATTCGTGGATAAATGCTTTTAATTGCGTTTTTGGCCAGAAACATAATTTTGCTATTTTCAGGCACAATTTTCGACAACGCTCCTTTGCAACATAAAATGGCATATTCATTATATATAACATTTCGAGCGGTACTACAGTATAAAATATATATTTTTCAAATGGCAAGGCATTCAATTCGAAATAAAGAATCCAATAACTGTCCAACTTATTTTGCAAATTTATCCAATTTATTCTCTAGGTGGCATTTTCTCTGTATATATTCGAAAGTTTTCAACCGATACGACTTCAAACCTCCTTTTATTTTGCAGCTCACATACCGTATCATCTAAAATAACTTTGCTTAAAGACCAGAATACATATATTTTTAAATTACGTAAGACATTGATTTTGGCCATTTCTTAAAGGGTATAATCTGGCTCATTGATAGAATAAAAATTTTGATAATAAAAGCCAACAGTCAAAACAGTTTATTTAGTTAGTTAGAAATTTGCGACCCAGTTTAGTCAAGCTTGACTTGAAAATAAAGTTACCCGCCTATCTCGAATTGTTGAAATTGGACCAAGTTCGACTCATATGGGAATGTCGGCAGGTATTCAATAGTTATCTAATGAATTCGCAAATTACATTCTCTGTATATATGGAAACACCAGGTTTGTATCACTAACTCTGGGTTTCGACTGCAGTTGAAACCTATTCAAGAAATAATTCTTTAAAACTTTACGTATATAAAGTTTCCAGACTCTGTTACTACGTAGACATTCACAATTTTATATTCATCAATTGAATGGTGTTTGCAATACGTGAAATACTTTGATAAACACCTAACATTAAAATGTTATGAAATTAGAACTAGGCGCTTAAAGCTTTCAATAGATACATTAGCTGAAAAAAATCAATTTTATGAAAAACGTAGACAGAAAATGAATTAATGCTATTTAGGAAATACTAGGGTTATATTTAGATTGTAGCGTGCTAAGTATTTTCGCTGTACGCGTTTTACTAAATATTCCCCAAAAGAATTGTATTAATGCAGTATTACATGAAGGCCGCAGGTATTGATTTAGGTTTACCGTTATGTACCGTGAATTTTTATGCCGTTACAACATCCACAAGTAAATTTAATTATTTGCTTTTTCATAAAAGTGGGTTGCTGCTGAAAGTTGCATTCATGCAACACGCAAAGTAGGATGCACATATTTAAGTGCTAATTAAACTTAATCAGAAGTTGCTTTTTCAACGAACTGTAATAGATTTTCCGATTGGAGATTGACTTCGAGATTTTAATACTTACTTGATATCAAATCGGGTATATTTGGGGGCCAAAAACATAACTAACCTGAAAAGAGAACGAGGTGTTAATAATTGTTAACGCTTCGGGAATAATTGCGAATTTTTCCAACTGTACATAGCAATTTTGTTCAGCACTCATGCGATCTAAAGAACTAGGTTCTTATACGAATTTTTGCATGCATGTGGAAGTTCATAGTCCACAGGAAAGGATTGGGTTTAAATCCGAAACCAAATCGATAACACTGTTAAAATTTGAATTTTATTGGCTAATTTATATTAGCAAAAAATCTGCCAAATCTAAAGCATATAGCATGTTTTTCAGTGAGCTCGTTTTACGATTTTTTTCGATGCGTGTTTTTTGAGCTCAGTGGATTTCCATCGACCTACGAAGCTCGCCAATTTGCATATTTAGGGTATTTGAGTCTGCAAATTGAAAAATATTGTGATAGATCAAAAATCACCAAAAATTAACCAAAACTGTCAAGAATTTCGAAGAGTGAAGCTTCTCATGTGGTTTTTAATGAGCGCATAGCACTTCTCACTTCTTTATGACAAAAATTATATAAAATTCTAGGCATTTTTAGAGGCTTGATATTTTTCGGAAAAAATCAACCTTAAGAAAATTTGTTGGTGAAAAGTGAAATTTTTCCATGTTTGTTTTTTGGGCTCAATGGATTGCCACCCACTTAAGAAACTCCCCAGTATGCACATTTGAGTTGTTTGAGTCAGAAATAAAAAATTAACCGTCGGGTAAAGATCGTGATTGATCAAAAGCCGCCTAAAATGGAGCAAAAATGTGATTTATTTCAAATTTGAAGCTGCTAAAGTGTTTTCCAATCAGCTAGTTCCATTATTCGCTTCATTCAGGTGGAAATAATGCTAGATTCGAGGCATATTAAGAGATTTGAAATTTTTCTAAAGAATCGACCTTATGACATTTTCAGTGAAAAATAAAATGTCTCCATGTTTGTTTTTTGATCTCAATGGATTGCGACCGACCTAAGAAAGGCCCCAGTATGCACATTTGAGGTGTTTGAGTTAGAAATAAAAAAGGTATCGTCAGCTAAAGATCGTGAGTGATCAAAAGCCGCATAAAATGGACTAAAAATGTGATTCATTTCACATTTTTCGCCTCTACAGTATTTTAAAATCAATCAGTTGCATTTTTCGCTTCATTCAGATGAAAATGATGCTAAATTCCAGGTATTTTAAGATACTTTATTTTTTCGAAAAAACCGACCCTCTTCCCTTGATGAATGAAATTTTCTATAACAAGGAACACACCGTTTTTTAAAGATCGTGACCGCTCCAAACTGCCTAAAATGAAGCATAAATGTCAATTATTTCAGCTTTAAAGCATCTAGTGTGTTTTTTCAATTGGCTTAATACATTCTTCGCTTTTCTGAGATAAATGTGATGTGAAATTCAAGGCATTTTGAGAGAATTTATATTTTATTTATTAAGGAGGTGGCATCTCAAAAATACGCCTACACAAATACACTGAATCCTAATAAAGGTAAATCAAGGCATTGCGTCAAATAAATCTCCTTGAAATTGTCCGGGATATTTATTTATAACGAATTCTCCTGCCAACTTAATGTTTTTCTTACAAATAAAATATTTATTGCCTATTAAAGGATCAAAATATCACAGGCCTCCTCTCCGCCTGTTTACCCGATTTCAATTTCCTATATGTAAATTGGAAAAACATAAAAATGCTTCAGAAAACAAAAGCGATATTCCGCACAATTTACAAGAGTATGACAACGTATCTATTTTCTTAAAATAATTATGTGTAATTGTAAATAATTAATTGCGGTTTTTATACAACTTGTGGACAGTTTTCCACTAATGTTCCGTCGTGGTATTTGAAGGTTCACTTCTGAACTTGAGATAAATAACTGTTAATATGAAAATTGTTGCCCAGTTGCTATCATCCAAACGAAACTCGTTAATACGACTTTTCTTCAACGAAATAAATTGCTGCTCGGTATGATTTTGAGTCCTTTCAGCCGTAATTTATCTTATCTCACTCTGCCGGCAATTTATGATTCATAGCACTGACACCCCATTTTGTTTTTAGACTGAGTATTATTAATGGTCCGTGGTCGTGTTTCTACTCACGGGAAGTTTTTACACAGATGTAAAACCTATAATGTCCAAATACTTCTAATTAAAGCTGAAAAAGGTCCAAAATGGCCTTGGACGCGCAACTTTGTTAGTTCACTAAATAAACCAGAAGAACATGTTTTATTCAAGGCAATATCGAGTTGCTCTATACACAAACGAGCCGAGCTTGAGTGAATTTTAAGACATAAGATGACTCCTTAAATGTTCAGCTACTTGACCATCGATCGCTGCGGTCGGAAACTTCGCAATTCTGGCTGAAATATGAAGGAGGCTGAAAGAAATCTGACAAACCCTGGAACTTTTCACTCCACGTTAGCAGTTTGCTTTCATTAACTATTCGTCTAAATTATTGAAATTGATATGAGTTTGTTCCGCTTTAGTTAATTTAAATTCAACAGCAACGTTGCACGTAGTAGGAACCACAATTCTGTTGAGATGTGTATATATTCGGTTATGGTATAATTTTTGGAATATTGCTGTTTTAGAAAACTAGTTGGGAGTTGAGAGGAAGCCCCTAGTGTAACTTCATAAATTGGCTTTGCAAGCTTGCTGTGGGAATAAGTTTAAATTCTAGACGATATTATAACGATAAACAACCCTAAACTAAACGAAATACTTTAGTGAGACGGTTCTTGCTAATTGACACCTGCCTGATAAATGAGGATTAAGGGTCAATTGGAGATTGCCCGGTAGAACCTTTAATAAATTGAAGAAATTTATTTGAGATCGTGATATAAACCTTAATCCGAGGATCAGAGTGCTGCTTTATTACACTCGGCTTCTTTTCCGCAATTTAAAAAAATACTTTCCCACTGAATCCGCGATGCTAGAAGGCTAGTCTAATTATTTAGGAGTTGAATTATAAAATATCGAATAATTAATTGCCTGATAATATTGAATTATGATGGAATATATCAGCTTGAAATCGAAAAATTAACCGAGCTTCCATTTGTAGCGGTTAAATATGCAAAAGGCAGCTAATCCCAAACACGTGACCGCAGTGTTATGAAAATCCGCTTAAATATAAATAATCATCCGAATTGTTGATTTAATTTTGAGCAAATACGAAATTCTATCAAGAGGAATATTTTCTGTCTGGCCATGCAAAATATTTAATTTCCCGAGTAAAAAATTAATTTAAGCTGTATATAACTTTCTTCTCAGTAAATTTAAATTGGTTCAAAACTGATTCAAAGGATTTCAATACCTATAGCCTAAACAAAGGTTGAAATCTACTGTGCGTAGGATGATTCAAATAATCAATAAATTTTCTTAAAGTAATTGCAAAATGAAGGGTCCCAGCTTTATCAGTTTTAGGATAGCGTTCAAGGTATATAAGGAGTAAATAACTAATACAGCCGCTAACCCAGAACGGGGTCAAATGTATCAATAAATTTACTGATTACTTAATACCGCTATTAAACTTTGCTTTATACACGAGAGCTCCTTACGTAGGAGTAACTATATGTAGGTGTCAGCTAGCAGGCCAATGAAATAATGCTGCCCGAAATATACTTGCCCCTGTAATGTAGCTATTTTAGCAAGATAATTTTCCTTAAATTTTGTTATGTAACTACGTTCTTTACTTGCCTCGTTCTTTTGTAAGCGAAGCCTGTAATTATTATGCTCTACGAAACACAGCACTTGGAGACCTAAGAATATACGGAAAATGAGGTAAATCCAGATAATTATATTGGATTACTACGAAGATTAATGTATAGATAGGGCGGAATATTAATAATGGGCAAAGACTAGTAAAATTCTCAAAAGTGTAGTCAATTCAGGAAAATATATCGTTTAATGTGCTATGAAATTGCCTAAAATCGACAGTGTTTCGGGTGCAATTTCCTGGTTTCCGATGATAAGCAAAGCTAAAACACGTCACTGAAACAAAACAAGCAAAAACACAAGTAAAACGATGATCGAATTTTCTACCGCATGTTCAACCAAAAGCAAATTGATAAGTTCTCTCTCCCCTTTACTTATTTGTTTGACTGTCAGGCCCTCTTCTTCATGTCATTTTTCCATAAGTATTCCACATATGTGGGAGCTTTAAATTTGGGAATTCGCCAATAATTTGCTTGATCAGAGTGAGGTATTCAATATATCAAAAAGCATTTTATTTATCATATAGATGTTGTTTGGCTCTAATTACACGAGTGTTTTGCTACACTTTTGTCAACATAAGTCGATAAAAAACACACAAACTAGTTTGTTTTTTCAACGGGCAAACGTGTACTTTATAGATCCAATAATTGCGCCCAACATTTCATTGATTAAACTATTAGTTAGTTGTTTTTATTTGATTCACATTCGACTAATTTCCAATGTTGAAAGAAAATTGTCCTGCAGACTCAGAAACGAAAGTCCCCTAAGCGAATAGCACGGTTTTAATGATTGCTCCATTATTGATCTCAATAGAAAATTTCACCCTCATTTCCTTTCTGGGTCATTGGACACAATAGAATGTTTTTTTCATTTGACCTACTTATTTCAGAAACCTTAGCCACCTAAAGATTGTTTCCATAAATGAACGTTCTTGGTGTTTTACTCCCGACGTTGTCTTTGAAGTTCCGTCATTATTGCTTGGAAATTTAAATTAGGAATTTGATGTTAATCATTCAGTGTGATGAGCTAACATTACGGTTTGTGCAAGACTATTCTGCACTCCTTTCACCTCGGATATGGAAATAGCACTTAGAGAAGTTAACTAAATATGGCGGTTATAAGTCTCATATTCATACTTAGTAGAAACTTGACTAAGTTCTGAATAGTTTCTCCTTCACTATAATCAAACGTGCATAATGTAGCCTAGTTATTCGAACATAAGGTATCATATTTGCATACACCAATTACAATGCTATAATGACCGTTTGTAAAGAAAGAAACCCTAAGCTGAGTTTTCCATAACAGGCCGAGGA